AAGAGAGTGTATGGGCCATGGTGCATCCGTTCCACAGTCGATGTCACCACCACTTCCTCTTCCCCAAGGTATTTTTACCGTCCTCATCTTCCACACTCCCAGTGTATCGCTGAACCATTCACAGCACATTACAACGGCGCTAACACGCCCATTCACGCATGTAGAAATCATGCTTACACACGGCACACAACCCACATTCCATTTCACAGCACACGACACGTAGCCTACAATTATCGTTCATATTACACAGTCCTTGGGACCATATTTTCACAATATTCATTCAAATATACGGCACAAGTGCCCATACTCATTCACAACACTCGACATACATACCCTCATTCTATCACACAACATTTACATACAATTCACATCCATCAATTTTGGGTCAACTCACATAATGTTCACATATCACAGCACATGGCCCATATTACATTTCTCAGCAATTTCCTACCTACTAACTCAGCCACAACACAATATAACAACAATTCATGCACAAAAGAGTAGGATAGAGTCCCCTCTTACCTTGGATCGACGTCCCATACGCTAAATCCACCAAGAAGTGCTCCCCCTTCATGGATTCCGTCCTAAATACATGGAGAAACTCCATAAAAACTGCAAAAACAGAGAAAGGGAATGAAAACGGAAATCCTAATCATTAAAATTCACCTCCAAGTGTTCCCCACACGGATTCAACCTTCAATCAAGCTCCCGAACGGCTTTAGAGGCAATTAATCAGTGGAATAGGGCTTTGGGTTGAGAGGATTGAAGAGATTTGGGAGGGAATAAGAAATAAATCACAAATCCCTAAACCCCTTTTTAAAACCTCTCAGATCGCGACACTCTCGCTACAGCGAGAAATTCTAAGTCACCTCTCGCTGCAGCGACGCCCTCTGTCGCCACAGCGAAAATCTCAGACAAAACTGCACCCTGATTTCTGCAGAATCTCGCTACAGCGAGACTGCTCCCAGAAATGCACCCCAAACTGTCGCTCTGTTGCTACAGCGAGAAGGTGACAGTTTTGGTCCTTCCTTCCAGGACCCTCTCGCTGAAGCGAGGACAGCTCAGAATTACACTCTGTATTTAGGCACTTAGCCCATTTTCAGCCCAACCAATCATGCATACGCATATGTATACACACATCCACAACATACATATATATACACATATTCATACTCATATATCTAAAAATACACACATATATATGCATTTAGATTTATATAATTAATAATAATTAGTATTACAAAATTTGGGGCATTACAAATGGTAACCTTTTAATTCGATGTAGAAGTTTGGATTTTAAATTATGAGCTAGAAAATGATTTTTGGCTAGAAGGTAATTTTTTGGTCAATTGATTAACATTTTTTTTTTCGATCTTCAAGTTCCTTTTATGTATCATTATAGAATTATATCCTATTGTGCATGACTAAGAATGGTTGTGTCTTTATGCTATCCCAGTTTGGATGTAATATTGATAATGATACTTAAGAAGCGATTATGTATAACTAGAGAATGATATGTTGGAGCATTCTTAAATCTGTGCTCACATTAGTGTGCTCTATCCTTGAAAGCTTGGCTATACTTTATTGAAAAATGAAGTTCAAATATATATGTTGGTGTAATAATTATTTAAAGCTATGTAAAATCATTTGTGTTGCTTTATGACTTTGTCATTTCATTTTGGGATAGATTATATAAATGTTGTTATTGCCTCTTTTACTAACTAAATACTTGGATAACTTGTTATTGCTTGAATATCTCTGCAAGGTAACTTTCTTTTGTTAATTTGAAATTAAGTAGTTTTTCTACTTCTTTTTTAATATGTTATGTTAATGCCATAGCTGATTTGGGAAAATATCTTTTATAAATCTATGGAGATTTACATATATTATATGTTTTTACATCTTTGTCATCAATCCTTGACGAAGATAATTGAATTGAATGAAGTTATCTTGATAATAATTGTCAAATATGAATATACTTGTGAGTTTGTTACATTTTATCATATGCTCTTATATTACTTTATCCTTCTCAGTTGTGTTTTTTCTTTAAATTTATGCATGCTTCTTCAATTTGATAATAACAATCTTGACTTTTAAAAATCTGAAAAAATCTTTCAGCTTAAATACTTTTTCTATTGTTTATAGTTATTCAGTAAATTCATCAGGTTGCAGGTAATCATTGATAATAATTCAACAATTTAATCCTTCCACAAAGATGAATCATTAATAAAATATTATGCTATAGTAATGACTAAAGTACTAACAATATCTACGATAATTTCTCCATTACTATTAGTAATAGGTTCTTCATCTTCATTAATTTGGATTGTAGAAAAGATACTAGTATTTGTTTTACTATTTTGAGTTAATCAAGGCATCCTGAAATTGTAATATTAACTATGGCTTCTTTAGATTTGTCATGACTTGCTTGACAGGCAATACAAACCATAGTCATATGTTGAATTCATGATATTATACTTAGTCTTTTCATCTATGTTTCATTCATACATGTTATTTTCTATGAAGTTATTAAAACTTAAGTCCCCTTCTTCCAAGGCTAGATTAGGGGGCTAATAATTGTTGGTAATAAGGTTTGGATAGACTTTTCCATGTTTAAATGGAATAGGTCATTAGAGGGCTAATTTTGTGAGAATTAGATCCTTGAGATTTATCCTAGTTAACTATGTTAATGGACATTTCGGTGGCTTGTCTAGATTTTGGTTTTAAGAAAACATCTTCAATGTGTTAGGGAGTTTTCAAAATAGTTGTTGGACTTAATAAACTATTAATTTTGCTCAACAACTTAGAATTAGTCTTAGCTTTTATCTATTACAAGTTTTGTTAAACTTTTTGACTAAGTTTAAAGGGCTTAAACAAAGATTTTTCTATAGTACTATAGATTGAGGTTTTTGTAAGGAAGTTGGAGTTTCCAACTTGAAGAGGTTGATATTGAAATTTTTTGAGATTTTGTAAAGATAATTTTATTTCCAATAACTTGCAAATACTTATTGGTATAATTTGTCTATTCCATTAAACTTTTGACATATTTAGAAGTCATCACTTCTTCTCCAAAGCTTTTGATTTTGAAAGGCAAGGTCCTAACAATATTATGTTTTTCAACCCTAATGACAGGAAGTTAGTACTAGTTAGAAAGAGGTAGTTCTAACTGAACCATCTCATCATCTTTAAAGTGCCAAACAATAATCACGTTAGAACCACACTAGTGGTTCTTTGTCCCATTGAATTTGAAAAGGATAATCATTTTGTTTTTGACTGTATAAGTATGAAACCAATAAAAAAAAAAAAAGGAATGTTCATACAGAATTTTTCAAGAAAATTATAATATTTCTCTTGAATTTTTTTTGTTTTTCTATACCCTTGTAGTTTTGCAAAAATTATCTACTCTCAGGTTTTCATTCCTAAAAATAGAAGATTTTATGAAGGGCTTCCTTATCTAAAATAAACTTAAGAGATAACATCATAATGGCCATTTATAGTGAAATAAATTAAGGATTGTATAGATCTTTGATCTTTATTCTCATCTTTTTGGTAGGTTGTTCCAAGGAATAATAAAGGTTATTTCTATTCCTTAAAGATTTAATTTAGGAATTACATATCTAGAAATATTAGTCCTGTGGATTGGTTGAAATGCTTGAAATGCTGGAGAATGACCTCGTTGAAACAAACTCATCAATGTAGACTTCTAATTTAGAAGAAAAAGAGTTTCTTCTATAAAAAAATATATATATGATTTCTACTCTTCGTGATTTAAATTGTCTAATTTCTTGAAATTTTGGAGTTTCTTTTGGAAGACAATAAACAATAAATGAATAATAGATGTGGCAAAAAAGACAAACTTTCAACCCAATTAACATTGTTAAAAAAAAAAACTATAACACTTTTAAAACTTAAAAGACTAAACTAAAGCAAAAAAAAAAAAAAGTTAGAGAACAAAATTAAAATTTATCTTAAAAGTAAATATTAAAAAAATAAAAATAAGAACTTTTTCTGTCAAATTGTTTTCAATACCCTTAAACATTTGAAATTGTTAGATACACATGTATTATAATGTGTCTTTCAAGAGTTCAATAGAAGTTAAATATTTTATGCAAATAGATGATTTAGTTTGTGTTCTTATTTTGCTACTCACAATTCAAGTGATGAAACGTGGATTATACTTTGCAATCTTGTCAAAAACATTCATGTAAAAGAGTTACTTGCAAAATGCATACATAATTATGTCGAACATTTTTATTGTAGAATTCTCAATTTTAAAAATATAATGTAGGTAGTGAAGTCTTAACCAAATTCATTTAGTTCAATAATAATTCCCTTATTGAATAAAGTTGTTTTCACTTCATTGTTATTTGTTAACTCAATAATAGTAATTCAAGTTACAACGCAACTGTTTATTTTATTTATTTTCAACATTTAATCACTTTTAACTTTTTATAAACGAAACATTCATCAAATATTTTGGAACTAGAAGGACATATATAGCAAGTCCATTAATCATTCGTAGAACATTTACATGCTTATGTTTAAAAAAAATGTGCAGTGTCATAATATTGCGAAAACAAATATATTCGTGTTTCAGCTTACACTTTTAGAAGAGATGTCACTTTTATGCAAGTAGAAAGATTTATAATTTTAAGATGTAACATTTCCCATATTGGCAATTGTGGAATCTAACAGGTGGAATGCTTGACACCCCACCCCCCAAAATAAATAATATTAATCTTATAAGGCTATTAAATTTCTGTGGAATAGTTATGACGTAATCATGGTGCCGTAGCCTCTACGTTATTTCAAAACACCACCAATGACTTTCCAGGTGGCATCATTAATTCCCTGATGCTTTGAGATCGAATTTTGTAGCAAATATCTGGCAAGGTGCAAAACATTGCAACTGAACGCATTTCACCCGAAATATGAAAAAGTGACATTTTGTTATTATGATTGCAACTATCCAAAGCCATGGAGTTGATGCACAAATTTCCCAATGACTAGAGATATATTGAGCAGGCAATGATCAAAACTTACTTGTTGCCTCAATTCTGTTATGCACGGTCAACACCAAACTCAATTTCGTTCAACAAGAATTATGAACCATGTTCTTCGGTAATTTGATCAAACACGATCAAGAACCTCATTCATCAACCAGCACGTGTACATACCAAATAAATAAAGTAGGAATGCCTCAGGGATGGAATGAATATACATTCCTAACACTTTAACACCAAAATCTGCTGTAGATGTTTGCACTTACAATAATTCCCCCAAATATATCATATTTTCCAAGCAGTACCTGAAACTGCATATAAATATTAAACCGATATACGTAGCATCTATCCTTCAATTAGAGTACTCTAGCGTGGTGGTTTGAGATTAATAGATCCTAGAAAACTGAAACGAGAAACCAAATAACTCTTTCTTACCACACTGGCTAGATTGGCTGTCCCTGCATCCCACAGCAACACCATTATCCTGTTCTCGCAGATATTGAAGCAAAACATTATCTTCAAATACAATATAGAAAACACTACATCTTATGTAACAGAAATAAAAAATGCACTCAGCAAAAGAAAAAAGGATAGTGTAAATATCTGCTTCTGTAATAAAAACACAAGCATTTCATCAGGGCAGAACTCAACCCTGAGAATAGAGAAATACAACGCATCAGATCCACTGAAAAACAAGAAAAATAAACTAGAGAAACTCAGCCGTTAGCTCCTGAAAGGATCAAACAAATAAACCTTACCATAAACAACTTAACATCTCAAGCCCTCATAATAGTTCCAAGTCGTTCACCTGCTGAGCTTTTCAACTAAAAATTAAACTATTTCTCGATACACAAGGAATAAGATAAGCTCTGACTTCTTCCATTTCAGAAGCTTAAAAATAGTTATGAAGTTAGAATATAGAACATTTTGTAGATTTTGAGAAAATAGAGACAGCAATGGCAGATGCATGCATCAGAAATCTTGTATTCACAAAACTTTGAATTGGCTTTTGCTCATAAAAATGATTGCTATCCAATTATCTAACAGGGTAATAATACATTCACTAATCTAGAAAAACAAAAAAGTGTTCCTCTGCACAAGGGCAGGGAGAACAAGACAAAAAGTAGATGAAAGTACAACGAAAGAAGAGACGACCCTGTACACATACCTCTATATTTGTCTCTTTCCAAAACTGAAAATGGTAGAAATCCTCTAAAAACAGTGGTAATATACACGGCCTTTGAGACAAGAATAAGTGAGCAATGATGCCTACCAATACAATTTTGGTTAAACTTTTACAGGTCCTACAGAAAACAATGAATGTCTTGTCTCCATATTCCAAAGCCCTCATGTAAAACCAGCTTCGTCTGCACAAAACCCATAATAAAATTGAGGTCTTCTACCTTTTCATTCCACCATGAAAAATATATCAATACACCAGAAGAGAAAAACTGAAAATCAGATTCACACTTGGGACAAAACGGATGCACAATATATTAGGAATGTTGTATCATAAGCAATAGTTTGTCATTTACAAGGATCTAAATGATTTGCAAGGATCTAAAAATAGCATTGTCATTTACATAAAGACCAGCACTCGGAAAAGTGAAAACACTATAGCAGGATAGCAGAAAGTGGGATGGCTGCTATTATAAATATTCTAATACAAACTAAATTTATCCATTGGCTTGCATATAAATACTTGAATAAAAAAAGCTTGAATATGTTCTGTCGCTATATTTTTGCAATTTCTAGTTTAGTCACTACAAAACTTTTGTTTTGGTCTCTACGTTTTTAAGATTTTTTGGTTTTGAATTTGATTTCTCTTACTGACATCCTCCACAAATAAAAAAATGACATGTGACAACCTCTCAGTTAGCCATGTCAATAAGAGGGATTAAAACAAGAACTTACATAAATGCAGAGATCAAAAACATATTTAAGCAAATAAAAAAGTTACTCGAAATCAAAGAAATTCATGATAAATAATGTCACAGTTTAGACTCAATCACCATCAATCTAGGAGCAATAAGAATGCGAGGATGAAGTCAAAAAATGAAAGATTATGCTGAAATTATTAGGGGGAAAAAACAGTTAGATAAAAATTAAAATTGAAGAGAATGTGAACTGTTAATTATGATTTGCTAGTTTATGAATTCCGAGTTGATTTTTCCCCCTTAAGAATTGAATAAGTCAGCCAAAAAAGGAGATCGGAATTTGAAGAAACACAAGGATGCAACCAATATGACGCTTGAGCTACTGTTCCCTCAATTATTTTAGATACATCGTGATTCCATACTCAACATAGTTAGTTACATTTTGTAATTTATATAACAACTGTAACCCTAAAAAGCAAAATGAAAACCATGTCGCAAGTTTGTAGTTGTTAAAATAGAAAATGAAAATAGAAGCATTTTCATACACCAAACGGGGCTTAGATGTTTCATATACCTCTAGTGAAAAGCTCACATGACATTTGCCCCATCCCTAAATGAAAAAAAATAATAATAATAATAATAATAAAATCTGTACTTCAATTGTGACTAAATTTTCATAGACAAGGCAATAAAGAATAAAATACCTGTACATTGGTTATGAAAGGGCATACACGTTCCAATCCTGAATGAACCGAGCACACTCAGCTGTTCCATCATTAGAAAGTTATCATTCCACTTTAGAATTAGGAGCATGGATAAGTAAACTGCTCTGCCCCGGCTGTATATGTTGTAATTGTTGTTGAGGTTGATGTTGCAAAGCCACATCTTTGGGAGAATGTTGCTCCTGCTCCTGTTGCTGCTTATGTTGTTCTGGAGGCTGATATGACTGTAAGATGGGCTGCGATGATGACTGCTGTTGAAGAGTCGGTGATTGTTGCTGCCTCTGCCCCCCAGAATTATGTGCATGACAAGGCAAGCTGGCTGATAATTGCCGTGGGCCCAGCCCTTGGATAACAGTTGATGGTTCATTTCCTACAGAATTTCCAACAGATGTGGTCCCCACAGAGCTCACTTGAGAGACTGGATTGGGCACATTGGAATCAAATGATGATTCTGATGTTTTCCACTGAGAAGACACAGTAGGAGGAACAACAGTTACACTAGCTGCGTCCATGCAACCAGCAGATATTGCAGTGTTTACACCGACTTGAGCAGCACCATTAGCAGGCTGTTGATCAACTTTAGCTGAATCAGATTGAGACATACTTGATTCAGAATGCACCTGGCAGTTTTGTTGCAAGATTCTCTGAACATTTGAATTATTTTGATTAATTTGCTTACACAGTGGCTGAGATTGTGGCGGCAGTTGATGGTGGTTAGAAGCTACAACAGCCTGCTGTGGAGATGACATTACATGAACTGAAGAAACCGAAGAAATTTGTGCCTGAATGCTATTGTCAGAAGGAGATACCACTGGCTGAAGTTTCAATGAAGTGTTTGTTGGTCCAGAATGTAGCTTAGGCTGCAACTGGGAATGATTTGAAGAATGTGCAGGCCCCAGCGGCTTAGATGGTTGATTTGGATTACAAGATCCAGGATATAAGTTTTGACCTTGCATCATGGGCATGATCTGGTCCCCTTTCTCAACAGTTTGGCTTCCTGGAGGCACAGATAATCCATTTAGATGAGAAGGATCCACAGAGTTGTTCTGATGGATCAACATGTTTCCTCTTCCTATTCCCTTCAGAGCTTTTGCCTGCTGTTGAGACTGTGCTTGCGGTGGCTGATTAGGATGCTGTCTACCAGGCTGTGGATACTGTCGTTGCTGAGGCTGCCGTTGCCGTTGTTTCACTGCTTGATTAGTCAATGCACTAGCAGTAGGATTCCGGTTGAATCCATGTTGCGGTAGGTGATTTTTCTGCTGTTGGAGCTGAGAAGATATGGGAGTCAAAGGGGATGTCGGTGTTACAGGCGAAAGAGATCCTTGCTGCAATGAATTTTGAGGTTGCGTCTGGGAACTATTTTGCAAAGATGATGATATAGGAAGTTGGGACTGTGCCTGGGAAGGTTGAATCAAGGTATTTGATGCAGCAAGCTGTTGCTGTTGTTGCTGGTGCTGCAGATATCGCTGATGTTGCTGCAGTTGCCTTTCCTTTGCCAATCGGATTGCATAAGCCTGTTGGGAATTAGTGGTGTGATTTGGACCCTGAAGATGAGGATGAGGATTGCTGAGATGGGATTGTTGAGATAGTTGATGTGGCTGTTGAGCATGTCCTGGGTATGACTGAACAGGGGTTGTCTGATTATTAAAGGCAGAACTCATCCCACTGAAAGCAGGAATGCCTTGGCTGCTTCCTTGGGTGACCTGCATTGGAAGATCTGGAACCATCATTTGTCTTTGATGTTCTTGATTATGGCCAGGCTAATGACAATGAGAAAAACAATCATTAGTAGAAATAAAATAGGCTCAGTGATTACCATAAATGTTAACAAATAAAACAAGGGAAAACCAAACACAATCAAATTAACTTGCTATAAACTTTTGCATAACAAAGTGCTAGAGATGTAATGAAATTGGAAACATTGTAAAAACTACGATGCTGAGTTGGATGGACATTAAGTTTCATAGCCACAAGCAGATATTCCAATTTCACAATGTTACCAACCAATTAAATCCTTTCTCACCCTCATCATATGTACAGTCTCACGAGGTCTAAGCATTGAGTTGCCTTGTCCAGCACCAACTCCAGAGTGCACATTTACAGGGTTTGGCATGCCCACCATACTAGAAGAAAGCATGCCCCCAGAACCAAGCATAGATGATGATGCCATTCCTTGAAACCCAGGCCTTGACATAGTAATGCTTCTGCTAATCCCACCCATCATGCCCATACCATTTCCCCCAGGCAAAATGCGCACACCACCACGATCACTTCCTGAAATAGATCCAGGAACTGGCATGCTAGATTGCTGCATGTTTCTGCTAGATATCATCTGGTTATATTGTTGAATTCTCTGCTGTTCATCAACTGATAAAGGTGGAGTTCTTGAGACTCCATATCTACTATCCCTGAAAAAGTATGCAGTCCCCAGCCATTGAATAACTAAGATTGTTAAGAATATATAATAATTGCACAGCAAGAATTTCCAGCTATAAAATGCACAAACCTGACAGGTGCTGCAATTGAACCAGATGACGACAAGTTATTGCTAGGAGCCATACCAGAAGATGGTGGAATAGGAGAATTTGGCCCAGCTGAAGGAAGCGCTGCTGGTACAGAACCATGATTTGATAATGCTAAACTGCCAGCATGAGAACCTTGATACCCAAGGGATAGGACATCTGGGCTTGTTGCATTTGTCTCACAAAGATCAAGTGGCCTTCACCAGAACTCAAACATGATTAAAATACTTGTGCCAAATAAAATAATAATGCACATACAGAATGTGAAAATTACAAGGTAAACCAAACTATGGCTAATGTGCACAGCAGGTGATGCGATAGTATTCATACCTTCAAAACATGAATGTTACCCAAAAAAAAGTCAAATCATAGAACTTACGTCAAAAAACCTCCATTCAAGGTGCTTGGGCGGACTTGGGCAAGAGCAATCACATGTGAATTATGAACAGGTACTAGCTTTAAATCCTGGTTATCATTCTACATTTAAACAAAAGAACTTTAAATTAGTTATGTTATAGAAACTATGAGAAAAAGGTACCAACGCAGTTTATTTTGTCTTTCATAGTGCTATAGCCTGCTCATAGTTATACATCCACAATATTCTTCAGAAAAAAAAAACACCAACCAGCAGTGTATGTCTCATGCCATTGTCAATAAGATATTACCATATAAATCAACAGGCAAAGTTCCAAGAAGAAAAGGTTAACAAAAGACTCATGTTTTGTCATAGACCCTCTGTGTAGTTCTAGTTATCAATAGCAGGCTATAGCGGAGTAGCCATAGTCCACTATAAAATTTGAATAGCATAGCAGGCCACAGCAGCGGCTGAGCACAGGTATAGCAGCGCAATGAAACTTTTCAAAGAAAAATCCTTTTTGCCCTAGGAAAGCACTGCTTTGAGGGATTTTTTTACTTTTATTGTTATTTACTTATATGTATTGGCTAAGAACAGTGACTTCTTATTTTTAACTATGAATATGTCATTGCTTTTGAGTTTTTTTAAAAATCTTTTAGCACTTGTATATATAAATTATTTAATTTATATATAAAATTTCTAAATAGCAGTCACCAGCTATACGCTATCCTGCTACAACATTTTGGGATTGGCTGCTACATGCTGCTATCGGAGATTGATAACTATGATGTAGTTAGTAGAATAATTAGTTAGTTAGAGTTGGCTGGTTAGTTTGTTGGGATTATACTGTTCGTGAGAACTTTTGTTATTTACAAAATTGCAAATAGAAGAGACAGTATAAACAATAGAGATTAGAGAGGCAAAGAGGGAGGGTGGGGAATTCAGAACTGTAGTAGGGACATGGGAGATGCTTGGATCTCTCAAATATCCAGGGAATCCATTTTCTTTTTGTACATTCTTTCTATTCTTGGCATTGCACCACATTGGGGCATGATCAAGACTGGGGTTCTTCATTAATACACACTCTTTGATTCATATTCTGATCCAGTTTCTATGTTTGCTAAGCAATCACATCAAAAAAAGGAAGAAAAACAAATGGAAAAATTACAACTAAATGTACAACTTTTTGGGGATTAACTGTACTTTTGGAATCATCCAGGAAATAAACCAATAGATATGGTAGAGACAAATTTTCAAAATGTAACAAAGTAGGAAAAGGATATCAATATTTGAATAATCATGTGAAGGTAGCATTAGACCTAAAATATAGAAAACAAATTATTGAAGGTTTAAACTCAGGCAAATACAGATTACTAAGATCATAAAAATAAGTTAGTTCTTGATGAAGAATACAAGGCTGACTCTGCACCACAATGAGATGTTAAAGTGATATTCAAACAACTACAAGCATCACTCAATTGAAGTTGAATTAACTGATCTGTAAATAACAACACTAAAATTCAACTGTTTATCAATTAAGTTCAACAGTAGTCATTTAAACAAACCACTAATCATATGACTTAACCAGTCATGAAAGTGGTTCACACGTAATAAATACCATATTTAAATGTCATTGCAATTGCATATTAGAATCCACCTAATATAAATGCTTTGATCCAAACCTGATTCCTGTGATAGCGTTGCTTCTGTCCAATCTTGATAATTTTATCAAAATGAGACTTCAGAGTATCCTCCTCCATTGGCCCTTGCAAACGTTGAAACAACTGCCTGGCACTACCCTGCTAAAGATACAAAAATTTCTGATCAATCAAAGCTGCAAAGTTGAAGTCATAATACAAAATAAAAAATGATAAAATATTCATGCCTTTGGAATTCCAGGTAGTGTAGATGGATAAGACTGAGAAGAGCCTGAATCTTCAGCACTATCTGCACCATCCCCAGCGCTTTTGTCCATTAAAATCTTGTGACGCTCCTTGCAATCTTTTGGCTTCCGAAAGATACACTGGAAATATTGCAAAATTTTTTTCTCTCTGTGAGAAATAAAGTAGAGAAAAAAAAAAAAAAACAGGTTTGTGATGATTGATTGATTCATTGACTGACTGACAAGAAGAAAAACAAGAGAATCTGCCTTTCAAGGGTTTGGTTTCCCAATACTAACAAATCTAATTGAATCTTTGCCTACTCTACTAGTATTTAAGCTAAAGCCCAAAGCCCCTGTTCTTATCAACTTTAACCATCAAACCAATTCTTTATTAATTACTGTATACTGCTGTCTCCTTTTCCTCTATTCTTTGGCCTTGGGTCCCAACATTGCCATCCCATTGAAGTTCAACCCTGTCTGCAAGGTTCAAACTGGGGAGTCCTGCATGAAAACTACTGCCACTTTCTACAGTGTTTCTCCTTCCAAGGATTCTGGTTTAACAGTCTCCCCATCCTGATCCACTTATTCATCTTCTGCCACGATCAAAATCCTTATACTTCTTTCTAGGCTCTTTCGTGTATGGGAAAAAGAGCTGGCAATGCTGAAACATCTAACTTCATCAGATCTTTTGACATATTCGGATATTCTGGATGTAGCAATGTCTTGCTCCTCTATTTTTCTGCAGGTATGCACTACTGGCATTGGACTTGGTCAATGGATGCTGTTGGAGCTTTACACCCCAATGCACTGATTCACTCTTGTCTTAATTCAGAATACTTGGATGGGTCAGTATGTTCTAGAATGGACTCAATGTCATTGAATCAGGCTAGATAGCCAGCAGCCCCATGGGTTGTCACCATTGTTGTTAATCAGCCATGGCGGATATCACTAGCAGTCTGCCCAAAGCACCACAACCATGGCTGAAAATGGTGGTTTTACGATGGCAGTGCCATGGTGACCCTTACACGCCTGGCAACCATGGCAATAATGGAGGCTTTCAAGGGAAAAAATGACTTAGGCCCCAGTCTAGAGTGAACCGCAAACCAATATCTAAAAACTTCTTCCTCTCACACAACTCATGCCTCTCTTTGTTCCAACTTCTCTTTCTTCTTCTTCCCCTCTCATGTCTCTCTTCTCTGACGACTTCGCTGCTACATCTCCGGTGACCACTGCTACCTCCATCTCTAAAGACTCCATCGAACACTTATGTTACAAAGGTTGTATTAATGTCTTTACATTATTTCCTATGACCTGTGGTGTTTTTCATATATTTTTATATATATTATATTATTTTATAATAATTGTCGTGCTTCTGCCATAAGATGCCATGGCATCTGCCATAATTTTATGGCAATTTTCTAGTTGTTCACGATGACCCACCCTCCACCATTGATAACAATGGTTGGCACAACATATCCCAATCACTTGGGTAATGTCAGAAACTTGACACCAGAACATGTTAGTGAGATCTTGACTCCTGAGGACTTTGGTAGCATGTAGCTCCTCTTCAAAATCTTAGGCCAGAGTTGTTAGGATTATACATATACATTTGGTATTTCACCTCAGTCCCCAATCTACCTGAGAGCGGCTCCTCTGGAATCTTCATAGTTAGTGCCACCAAGATTTTGAAATCTTAAATATGTACATTAAATAATCTCATCATTTACTGCAAGGTGAATAGACTATCATATATGATGTTTTCTTTCCTCAAATCTCTGTATCATAGCTACCATCAACCTTTGCTAGGTCATCCAACATCTTTCCCCTCAAGAAGCAAAACCAGCGCACCAAAAAACCTTCCACGCTTATTATTTTGAGTTTCACCTTTATATTCAACTAAGTTTGTCACACCTCAGAACTTCTCCACCCAAGCAACCCGACCCATTAGGTTGCTGCAATCAAAGTTTGGCAGTTCAAACTTTTGTAAACAAGATTTGGATTCATCAAAAGGAATAAGAATCACCATCTTCTAGGGACTCAGCTTTCTCCTTATTCTAACATGAAATTGCCGTCTCATGAACAGGTAGTTCTTCATCACCTTTTACCTCAAAGCTAATGCCCTATTTCCCACTTAACCAATAGTTGCCAAACTCCATATCATCCATATTCGTTCAAATCTCTGTGACATAGGAAAGCAGGGAATGAATTGCACTCCAAGATCGCCAATAGTCTTCCTGAAGAACTCCACCAATTTCTCCAAAGCTCCTATACTCAGTTCTATATCAACAATGATATAAGAGATCCAGAAGATTGGACCAAAATTGTTACACCCAAGACACTGAGAGGATAAAGATAGAAAGCAAAAAAAACTGTTCTATGATGACTGTTTAATTGACAAAGAGAAAAAAGAATCTCCTTTCAAGGGTTTCTCCTTTAACAAAAGACTTCCCCTTTAACAACTGGACTACTTTTAGGTTTCCCAATAACAAAAAAGTGATAAAATCCTGTTCTACCTCTCTCCCACTCTTAAACTAAGCCCTGAGCCACTATTCTTAACAACTTTAACCACCTACATAATCAATTCCATAACTAGTCTAACAGGTTTACTCATTTTTCTTTATTCTTCTGTCCTGATTCCTACAAACTTCAGTGAAAATCCAATCAAATCCTATATAACCAATGATATAAATTTAGAGTAGAAAGAAACCTTAGCATTTAAGACTTATGAACATGGCAACACAATTTCAAAAGATATCGTGGTTTGTTCTTCCTCTTGTTTCTTGACGTGGTGGAAGATACCACGGCAGTACTCTAATTGCTAAAGTTTTGCTTCTTAAGGTTATACATACACATAGCTTTCCTATTATGATGCAGGTGTAATCTGTGAATGTCAATAAAAAGATGAAGAATTTTCAGTAATGGATTGTGGTGATAATTGAAGACATTCTCAAGTCCTGCAACCATGGCTCCTTTCCTATACATGTGTAATCATATTTAAATATCATTACCTTGAATTGTATAGTACTGTTGATAGCATCGCTCACAAGCTCCCAATTTGGACCCATATCATGCACCAGGACAACAAGGGCCTGCAACAAATATAAGAACAGAGATAGCCATTTAATGTCATAGTAATGAAGTTGAAATAGTTATTTCAAAAAAGGAAATAAAAATAAAGATGAACTACTAACAACCTGATCTTCAAATAGTGACCAAGGATTTCCAGAACCATGCTGTCCTGCAGAAATCTATAAAAAAAATGCAAATAAATAAATCAGTAGTGTGACGAGGACACTGCTACTACACAACCATATCTAATTTCCCAACAAAACTACCTTCGGTGCTTTGCCTTTTCTTCCCCTATCACGTCCACCACTAATGATTTTAATAAATTTACTTGGATTGGACATGTTACTCATTTGTGAAGCAGCAGGGGAGGGAATAGAATTAGTTATTGGAGAAATATTGTCAAAAGTATCGAGGGGTTGCTTTGTTGTCTTCGGCTTCTTCATACTATGTTGCCCATACAAACCTTCAAAACAGGACAGTTATGCAAGTAAAGCATGACAAATATATAATACTAACTGCAGAAGAAAAAAACAAATTTATAAATATATAATCAGATAACAAGGAACTTTACCACTATTTCCATTAGAATCAAAGTGATGACTATCCAATCTCTTCTTGGAAAGATCCCTCTGCAATGTAATGACAATAGAACACCATTTGAAAAATATTTCAGAGCATAAAAGTAAAGGTCTCCAATGTCTACTCTAATGCAACATTAAGCATTATAAGTTCAACACTTCATATTCCATCTGGACATTATTAACTCCAATATCCCCCAACTAAGAAATATCCAACCATCTCTTATGATAGAAATACAGTCACTAAATCTAAAGCAACGTAAGCATCATCCTCCCAATTTCAGTTTAGCTCAAAGAAATAAAAATTCAGAATTTTTACAATTTCTCTGCCCTCCCATATTTAGCATATTTAGAGAACAAGGAAAGAAGTGCACACCCATAAAATACTTGTGATGTTCTCACAATAAAACATATACATACATAAGTTTGAAATTACTTCCACCTATAGTCCCACAGTAGGTCTCAAGCTCGAGTAAAGGAGAACAAATGCCTATGACAATTAACATAAAACTTGTTGAAACATATACAAGGATCACTCACGACAATATTGTGCTAGAGCTAGGTTGCTATCCAAAAGTAGAGTGTTGTAACTTGTATGGCTTGAGTACAATGTCAAATGGGTTAGAGTTATTGTATCGGCACCCAAATGTAGTGTCAAATGAGCAAGGATCCTTACATTTGGTTAGGCAAATGTGCGTAAAGAAGCTAGTCCAAAAGCACTTGATTAGGTTTAATTCATGAAATATTGGTACTTTGACAGGAAAGTCTTTGAAAGTGGAGGACATCATGATTTGTAGAACGATAAGTATTACGCGCCTTCGAGAAACAAAATGGGCTGGAGATAAAGCTAAAGAACTTAAAACTACCAAGTTTTAAACTTTGGTACACAAGGAAAGTCAGTAGAATGAACAAAGTAGGCATCATTATGGATAACACTTGAAAAAACGTAGATAGATTAATAGGATTGGAGACAAGATCATATCTTTGATGTTATTGGTCGCACAAGACACTACTAATACGATTAGTGCTTATGATCCATGTTAGCTCAGAAGCTCTTCGGAAAGAAAACTTTTGAGAGGATTTAAAAGGATTGATTCAAGGCATTAGTACCCAAGCCAAAATTAGGTGAAGACTTAAACGGGCATACTGGTTGTAACATTGGACAGTTTACAAGGATTCAAGGAAGCTTTAGCTTTAGAGAGTTAAATGAACAAGAATAATCTATTCTTGATTTCTCAACGGCAGATGACTTCAAAATTATGAACACTTATTTTAAAAAGTGAGAGGAACATCTTATCACTTATAAGAGTAGGGTCTCAAAGCTGCAAAATAATTATCTTTTGATAACAAGTCTAGATAAAAGAATTTGTAATAATTGCAAAGTGATTCCATGAGTGAGTCTTATTACACAACATTATATCTAGGTCTTTAATGGTCATTTTCAGGTTGGTAAACAGAGAACTAAACAAGTTATAAACCCAAAAATTAAGTGGTGGCTATTTCAAGGTAATAAACAGTTGGATTTTAAGCAACAGTTAGCAGAAAAAGGTAATTGAGAAGCATAAAGCAGCGCTAACATCATTTGGCACAAGATGTCTAACACCAAGGAATCTTAGTGGTGGAATGAATGTGCAAGAAAAGGTTAAAGATAAAGGAAGTGTTTAAAAGTTCTGCACAAGTGCAATTATATGGAAAATTAGGCAAGATGTCGAAATGCAAAAATGAGACAAGAAAAGAAGAGTGAGGCACAACCTAGGGCTTTTGGGAAATTCTATCATGATCCCAAGAAAAAAAATAAAAAACAACAAAAAATATATATACTTTCCAAAAATAGGAAAAGAAAATGTAGAGTTTAGATCAAATGAGATGCATCAAGAATGAAGAAGAAAGTTTTAGTTATAGATCAAGACATCAAAGACAGATGGAAAAACTATTTCTATAAACTTTTTAACAGTGAGAAAGGAACAAATAGAAATATTGAAGGATTAGAAACCCAAACAAATAAACAAAATTTGGCATACTATCACAAAGTTTGAATTGGAGATGGAAAAAACCCCTTAATAGGATTCAAATTGATAAACCCTGTTATTGATAACTATGATTTTAGATACAGCATATTTATGCCAAATTACACAATCAGAAACTCAAGTTCAGTTTCATCATTTCCAAATAGAAAGATTAGTATCACAGCAAGAAAATTTTATTTAAAAAAAAAAATACCTGTTCACTCATGACAACAGAATCCAACTGCCATCCCTGGTCATATGCAGAAACCTGTAGATATAATACACCAGAATTACAAATTGAAAAAAAAAATGGATCCACTTCTTGAAGTCCATAGACTCAGTTACATGAAAACAGATTTTGATTACCAGATTCTTGGGTTTCTTCTTCTTTGTTTTAACTGAAGTTTCTCCACAGTCATAAGGTAACTGCTTCTCAAAATCTCCAACTGACTCCACCTCCATGCTTTTCTGGATTTGCAGTCCAACATGTAAAGTACTCTGGTCATCCTGAAAGGAATTTGTATCTCCACTTGAAGCATCTGTCTTAGCTTGAGCCTGTACTGTCCCAGCGACCACAGCAAAAGGACTCACAACTCTCTGCCTAGAAGCTGTACGCATGCGTTTTGTTGGTATTGATCCAACATTTAAAGTACCAGACCTTTTCCCAAATGGCATGGACTGTTGAGCTACAGTTGAATAGTGTCCGTAAGGCAAATCAGTACCAATTTCACTGGACTTGTGAGTATAAGACTTTATCCTGTTCTTGTGTTTCTTCTGTAAAGATTTTGAAGATCGACTACCCTCATAGACACCAGGCAAATAATAAGGGCTGGTTTCTCCTTCATCCTCATCATATGCAATATCTTCATACCCAAACTCTATATATAAATTTAAAAAGGAGAAAAATTCTTACAGATTCCAGACTGATCTACCATTCACTCAAAAATCAAATAATCTAAATATTCCCCATAGTACCTGTTGCAGTATCATACATAGATGTTTCAACCTCCTCCTGAATGCCACAACCAGTTTTCTGGGGGTAAAAAGTACCACCACAAGAACAATTAAGACATAAAAGAACAAGGTTGTCACCTAAATATCTTCAAACCAATAAAACTTAAAAACCAGTCATGAAGCAATGAAGCATTATGCTGCTCAGGAAAGCAAGGTAGCAAAATAAGACCATTTATGAGCATAAATTTACCTCACACTGCAGAAAGTGAGATTCAACAGATTTTCTGTATGCTTCCATGGCAAAAGGAGGAACTGTATAGAATAGACTTTCCTGGAAATTGAAAAAACATGTAGAAGAGATATTTGTGGTCAAAAATTTGCTCACGATAACAAACTAATATCAAAAGTAAACCACAAAATCAACTACTAAAGTATATTGAAACAGCCAAATTCAATCGACATTAAAAACACCATTTTGATTTAATTAACACAGTGAAAATAAACATAAGAAAGAGAGAAGGATAACTAACGTACAAAATTAATAAGCTAATCAAATAAGGATAAGATAACTTGGTCCATACTTCTGTAAGATGATCCTCCCATGACATGTCAACAGTGCCTGAATCACATATTTTATCAGGTGTTGTTGGTGCTACTGCTTGACAGGAAATCCCATGAGATCTACTATCTTTCAAAAACCTCAAAGCGTATGTATGCACCTTAAGTGCCTCTTGTTTTCTGGGATTTTGTCCATCCAAGTAGTTGCCCGTCTCCTGCCAGAACCAACAATTCAAGCATCAATAACAAATCACTATTTATGTAACACAATTTAGAAAGCTAAAACTGACCATAGAAGGAAAATTTTAAAAGGTTCCCAAATTACCCAGATCATAATCATAACATAAACACTCATATCATGCAATAGTTATGAACCTCCATGCTTCTAACTAATATATAAAGCAGGTTGCCAAAGCAAACAAAAATGGATCAACAAGGATGACAACAATGCCTAAACAGGAAAGGCAAGAATATGATAATCAAAACTGGTATACCGAGTACAGATAACAAACAATTCTCAAACTACATTTTCAAGTGAGGATAAAATATTCAGAAGTTGGCTGTAAAAAAAAACGAGAATAAAATGCATTGTAAAACTTAGTTTTCCAGTTCTAGGACAGAAATAATAGGAATACCTAGTCACACCAAGTATAATAAACTCCATCCAGAACACAATAGCACATACATAAAACAAATCAGCAATAAATCAGAACACCAACAACCACCCAATCAGTACAATGTTTTGCATACAAGCACAAGATGCAGGGTTCCCCAAAGCATAAAATCTATGTACCTCTTTCTAATTCACATGATCACAAAGCACATTTTAAAAGCAAAATACATGTCAACAATTGAACAGTTTGTTGTGACATTATTTTTTACTCTAAAAGCAATATTTTCTAACCAACTGATTAAACAAGATCATTCACATATTAAGTCCAGTCACAATACCAGCCAATGTAGTGCCCAATAGAGAAGGATCACAATTTTAAATAGATAGAAACTATGATAAGAAGTAAGATTAGAAGTAAAATTAAACAACCAGCACCATCTCAGAATTTCTCCTCTTCTCCCCTGAAGCTTCACTCGATTCAATTTTCGCAGATTCAACTGAACCATAAATGCAGTTATGGTCAGGAACATCATCGTCTAGAAGAAGCTCAATTGAATGCCAAAACTCCATGACAGCCTTCGCCATGTTGTGAGACAAAATTTTCACCCCATGATGTTTGCTTTGTTTTTCAAATCTTAACCTAGCAGTAAAAGATGCCTGATGAGACAGCTGTGCTGCAGCAGCTATCTTCCAAAGACGCTCCTACAAATACATTTTGGTGGAATAAAAAAGACACATTAAAAAACAAATGTTATTTAATTATAATAAGGGTTAGTATTCTTCACGTCCTTCGAATGCTGATAACTAGGTCTAGAAAATAAAACCTGGGCAAAATCATTCGCCAACCATGCCATTTCCTCAAGGACAAAACCCCAGTGAGACTTTTGGTGGATCTGTGGGGGTAGCGTGCGAATAGATAATTCTGCAATCCTCTTCCGCTTGACCTGTTTTCACACAAGCCAGAACTTTATAGTTTACAGACAAACCCGCAAAACTTACTTGAAAAATAATTAACAGAAGTGAAAAAAAAAAATAAACCTCTATAATTCGAGCCTCTTCTAAAATAGAATCTTCATGAGCCTTGTCTGCTAACTTCAAGTAGTGCATAGGTTGACGGTCAGAGGCAGTAGTAGTAACCTTCTCAACAGCAGTTTGAGGAGTTGTTAAAATTGATACATTAGTAGGAACATGTAGTCTTTCATGGCTGTCTTCCCTGATAGAATTGGAATGATCCACCAGAATAACACTTACTTCTTTATCGGCTTTTGATTTGGAACTCTCATTGTGGTGCAGTTCTTTAATATTGGAAGAATCTTTCACCTTGTTTTGCATGCAAGAATCCTCACTTTTGACCACATTACCACTACCAGAATGGTTTTGATAAACAGCAGCATACCCATTGTTAGCAGTAGCACCACTTTCACCAATGTTGTCCTTACTCCTATCTTCTAAAATTCCACAGCCAGTTAAATTCAGTTTCTTCTCAAATCCCAACGTTTGTTCCGTAGTATTCCCATTTGCATCAACATTCTTTGCATTACTACACATATTACTGTCATTATTTACATCTCTAGCTAAACTAGTTTGTGTGCAGGAGGCCTCCAAATCAAAATTCTTCATGCCTAATGCAGCAGACTTTTGGTCTCCATTCGGTACACCCTTTCTGTCTACTTTTAAGTTTCCAAACCCATTTGGCTGACCAGAACAAGATTCTTTTCCAGGTTGTGTAGAAGCTACACAAGGCAGAGACTCCTGATCACAAGAAGTTCCCAGTTCTCTTTCTCCACCCACTTTAGCTTCCCCAGATGACAAAACAAGTGGATTTTGTACATTATCATCTTCAGAAGGTATAATACATTGATCTTCTTTAAAGTTTTTATTCACGGTAATATCCAATTTGTCTTCAGGAACACTAGCTGCTTGATGTGCTTGGACACCAACCAATTCATTGTCCAGTGGATTATTAGATGTTGGATCTTTATTAAGTGTCTCACCATTTAAACTTGCAGGCTTTGGCTTAGAAACAGAAGGCACATTGTGGTCCTTTTGTTTGTTTGTATCAGATATGATTCCCTTGCCATCCCTAGAAGCCCCACGAGGACCATGATTTGGTCTGGACCTGTTCCTTCGCGCATATGGGCGGAAAATAGCAGAATCTTCAGTCTCCTTAGCATTTTGATTCCCACCAATTCGAGAAGACTGTTCTGAAGGAGTAATATTATTCCTTTTATTTGAATGAAGAGACCTTTTCTCACATTCAGGCAACTCGTTCTCACCGTCAAAAAGTAAGAGGTTATCAGCAGTATTTGGTTCACTAAGAGAAGGAGCCCCTGGCCTAGTGCTACTGTCGACAGAGTCACCATGAGGGGAGGCAGTCAATACAAAACTACCTTTTGCTTCACTGAATCATATTAGAAGAAAGGACAAGAGAAAGAAGTGATTGGGCATCATTAAGCAAATTAATACACAAAAGATAGCACATAATGGTGATGAAAAAAACAGTTAAAAAAAAAAAAAAAAGCCAACCTGGTCACAAACTGCTCTTGATGCTGATCAGTGAGTGAAGTAGATTGAACACTAACTGATGCAGCATTCCCAAGCTTATAGTCCAAAGGGTTTCCTCCCTGCAATTACAAAGAACAGATGGTCATCATTTACATTTGAAAAGTTGTTTAATAAAGGATGCAAAAGAACAAAACTTCACACTTTTTCAAGAAATTCTAGCTCCTTTCTTCTTTCTTCACGAACATCATACTCCAGTCTGTAATAAAAATGCATGAGTTATTATTTGTGTTTAAGATAATATTGGTACTCCAAAAACACAATCAAAGGAATAACGTTTCCATCACCTAAGCTCTGCTTGAGCCTTCTCAATCGCTGCTCGGTGCGGAGAGGTTTTCAAACCTATACCAACTCCGCCGTCAACAACACCTCCCATGGAATCAACCTCAGCATTTACGAGGAGAGCAGACCCTGAGTTACATCCATGCATTCCCACCCTTAATATCTAAGAGTGTCACTTTCCATCTATCAAAGAATCTGCCAATTTTGTAAAGAAAAGAGGGGAAATAAGATATAAATCCAAGTATAAAGCAACTAATAGGGCCCAAAAACTTCCTCAAAAACCAAACATTAAAAATGTTAATATTACTTGACATTAATTTCACACATTTACATGTGTGTGAAAATGTACTTCAAAATACTAAGTTGAAATAGGTGAATTTCTTTTCAGCAAGATTTAATTCACAATTTGAAAATGCTTCCCCTAAATTGAAAATGCAACTCAACTCTACCCGAGCCTGTTGAATTTGGATGCCCAGAGTCTGAATCTCCTAAGTAAAAATGCAAACTACACATCATGCAGTTTGTATTTGAACAGCTAAAGTTTTTCCAATTAAGTTTAAGATTAATTTTGATTATAAAATAATTTGGATGGTTAAGATGTTATACAGTTTTCTTAAGACAGAACAATGTGAATCCAGGATATGTAATGACCACCCTGCAAACAAGGGTTGCAATCATCATGTTTATATTTCAGAGGAATATATAAATAACCTCTCAATGGAACTCGGCAATTTCCTCATTTTATTTATTAATTATAATAATATAAGCTTATACAAAAAATTGTCCAGCAGAAAATGACGTGACTACATATCGTGGTTAAGTATCATGCGCTGCATTACTATTTACCAAATTTCAATAATTACACCTTTGGTACCAATTCAAAGTATTTGTCAAATGTAGGGGATCTATCATAAAAAGTAAAATCCAAACCAATGTTATTTGGTAATGAAATACAAGCACGTCATGAAGTTTTAGGTCCTGTATACTAATTGATCATGTACATTATCTAACAAATACATATTCCCATTCCCATTACAATTCAGCTTCAGACATTTCTTTAGCACAGCAACTAATTCAGTAAGTGACAATCAATTCATATAAGCCACACGTAAATATTACTTTGAAAGGAGATGTAATCCAAGTAGAAAAACACAGTGATCTCAACCATTTATCAAATCCCCAAGACTTTTTGAGATACATACTAGTGCACAATGAAGTGAAAAATCATGGTTACCTTTCCATAAGTAACCAGATTATATCAACTATGTAAAAGATAAGAATAACATATATACAGCCCAACAGATTAGAAGAAATGCCAAAATAAAGCCGAAGTAGAAAGTAAAAGCCAAGCCTCCAAGTTTAAAATATTTGCACAGGAAAGAAATCTGCAACCAGCCAGAAGTAGCATACTAACAGCACACCCCACATGCAATTTAGAAAGATACCAACTTAAGTAATCGTAACAAACTAAAAATTATGGTAGTTACTGCTTAAAGTACCAGTCACCATACTAAAAAGTATATTTGGCAACCATTGCATGCATGCAAAGGTTGCCGCCACTGATTCTCTTCAAATTTTCAAATTGCCATCACCAACCACATAGTTACACTTCAAAATACTAGCTCCCCACTTAAATATTAGCATTCTAATTTGTTCCCCGGTAAGGATTAAACGAAAACTCCCACATTTAAGAACACACCAACCAAACCTCCCTAACAGATACAAACCCGAAGCCACTCCACGCCAACACAATGCATAACACAGTCGCAATGAGAAACACCGCTGCACAATACGCCCAAACATTAAAAACCCTAACTGCATCCATTTCCACGTAATTCCCCCAATTCGCACAATTCTAGGGTTTCCAAAGAATGCCAATAAAACAACAATTGAGCCGAGAGAAACACCTGAACGCGCAAAAGGGTCTCCGAAATTGAAACCTAGGGCACAATTCAAGGGCGTCCAAAGTCGAAATTCCTCTCTCCTAGGGTTTTGGAAAAAGGGGGGCCCTTTGTTCAGCGGAACGATGGCGAATTTGCCCTAAAACCTAACATGCTGCAACAAACATTAGCCATGGATGAAGGGTTCTCTGAGAGTGAGCGTGGAACCGTGGGTGGAGCAAATGGGCTGTGTTTATCTCTTTAGAATTTGAAGAAGAAAGGTATGGTTTCGTTGATGGTGTTGCGAAGTGAGAGGAAGAGGAACTATGCGACCTCTGCTAGAGTGGTGTGGGCTTTGGGGCATGAAGACGACGATGCACAGAGGAGAGGGCTTTTGAGAAATTGGACGTCCTTTGTGGGCTTTTATTGCACCCTTTTTTCCTCATTACATGTGCGATTCAATCAAAATGAGTTTAATTCATGTAATTTTGCATTGTCATATTTTTAGGAGAAAGGTTTTGAGTTTTGATTTGATTGCAAGGAAGACGACGATAAGATACCCCAAGTGAAAAAGAAAAAACACTGTAAATTTCTTACATCCTTTTACTTTTCTCTAAAAGACACGTATTCTTCTTACATGGTTTATAAATCATTTTTTATCTTTCCTTATTACATTACTCAATTTTTAAACTCATTCTCCTGTCGTTTTGTCTGTTTTAATAATAAAAAATTACAAAGATACAGTATAAATAGAATATTTATTTGTATTTTACTTTTATAAATAATCAATGACTATTTAAAAGAGTTTATGAAAAATTTATAAAAATAATCTGTGACTCATAAATTTTAAAAATTATGATAATAAATTTATTAAAATAATTTTGTTAATTTATGTGATATGTCAAATTTATGTCATGAGTATTTATATGAAAGAATTTTATTAGTTTTATTGAAGAAGTACTGAATTGAATTGTTTACATAAAAATATCCAAAAAAAAAAATTATCACTGGTTTTGTAATATTTTAAACAAGAAACAACGATGGTAATCTACCGTGGCCTTTTTGTTAGTTTTTTCATTTGGCGTGTTAGTGCCCGAAATTATGAAAAATTAAATATTTGTCGGTTTTGACTATATTTGATCATAATAAATTTAAAAAAATCACTTCAGTTCCTTATAAAAAAGGATAAATGTATTTAAGAATATGTTCAATTCTTTATATCTTGAATATTTGGCTTCTTAATTAGATATTATGGTTTATATATCATCTTTAAAGTTTTTATCACTTATTCAATTTTTTATTAATTAAAAATATTAATCACACATTTTCTAACACACTCATGATGAATAATTAAAATTGATTGAAAATTAAAAAAGTTGTATAAGTTCTTACTTTTTTTATTCCTAACTTTTTTTTCTCATATTTTATATTTTTTAATAAATTTTAACTAATAATTAAAAATATGTGAAAAAATATGTTAAAAGATATTTTAATACTCTTCTGACAAATTTCTTATTTTTTCAAAAAAAATTATTATCTTGTTTTTACTCAACTAATGTAATTTTAGTTCAAATTACATATTGAGTGTAAATTTTGAATTATTTATATAATGTAAGTTATATGCTCTACATACGAATTAATAATATTTTTCTTTTAAAAAATAATTTAATAAAGTTATACATATTATATAATATTTTTATATTTTAAAAATAAAAAAAATTATAAGTCATATATAACATGTTTCACTTTTTTCTAAAATATAATTTATATATTTATATTTAAAATAAATATATTTATATATTAAAGTTAGTAAAAAAAACAATGTAAACTCTACTTTTATTTCAAGGTTTTTCTTTTTCAATTTTATCTATGTAAACACATGCTCTTTTTCTTTGCTAAAATAATTAACAATGTTTCTAATTTTAAATGCAACGTTAGGGATGTCAATGGGTAGAGTACTATAATATTCATCTCCATATCTGCGTTTTGAAAAAATACCCATTTTTGGCCCCATACTTGCGTGAGTATGAACATTAATCCCCGTACTCGTACTCTTTGGATACCCGCATACATATCTTATACTCATTATCCACATTTTTTTGAGAAAAATATATTTATATAACTTCACATAAACAGCATAATAATACAAAAATTCAATATGTAGTTGCCGAATAAGGTACAAACATAGATAAAAAAACAAATATTTAAAAGTCATAAATGCTAAATGTATCTTAATATAATAATTTTCTAAACTAAAATTCTTAGAAACAATAAGCGAAACTAAACACACAAGTTATTTGTCGGTAATAACCATATCTTGTGTGAGATTTGATCTATTGGCAATGTTAGAGCGATAATGAAATAGATTTGTACAATGGTTGTCCTTTCGTGAGATCACTTGGTGACCTCTTACGACGGCATTGACAACTAACTCTAATAAATAACGTTTAATAGTTGTTAGGTTTTAATGAGATAAATATTAAAAATGAGAATAGAGTTAGAGTAGAGAAGTTCAATACTAACAACAGAAAGTGGATACATAAATTTTTTTTTTTAACTTTTGAATTTAAAAATGTAAGAAAAATAATAGATTTAATTAAAATAATATAATATAATTAATATATATATATATATATATATATATATATACTAGTATTTTTAACTCATATACTATACGAAAGTATTTTATCAAAAATATAAATTTTTAAAAAATTATTTTAATGAATTAAATATTTATAATGTATATAAATTTTAAAAGAAATAATTTGAATAAAAGATAAATAGTCACAATAAAATTTTATAATAAAGAAATATACGTATATATTAAAAAAATTAACAATAATTTTTTATATTTATATCTTTTTAAAAACTTCTTTGAACGTAAATAAATAGTAAGAATAATATTATTTAGATTCAATAGATTATAGTTATGCTTGTAATACATATGTTGCATAGAAAAATATTATTTTAAATTAAAATATAAAAAATATAATTTAAATATTATTAATAAATAATAAGTTTACAATAATAATAGGTGATTGTAAAATTTATAAAATATTTATAATATATTTATTATTTATCATTGGCTTTATGATTTAAACATCAATATGATTTTATTAACAAAAATATTTGTGTAAAAAATATTTTATGTGTGTCATATATAAATAATATTTTAAAAAAATCAATCTCATATTAATTATGTAATAATTAAATTATATTAGCCTAATTAAATAATATAAAATAGTAAATAAATTTTTCTATTAAAATTATAAACCAAAATAAATTTTTTAGTTTACTTCATTATTAAATATATTTTTATATTAATCTTATATAACTTCACATAAGTAATATAATAATACAAAAATTCAATGTATAATTGCAGAATAAAGTTCAAGCATATATATATATATAAACTCATACCCGTATCTATACAGCAGGTAAATACCTTACCCATTGTGGATAAATTTTGCGAGTGTCTATGGATATTTTACCCATATGCAACGTTAATATCTAATAATTTATGAAAAAAATTTGCAATATTATTTATAAAAAAAATATCATTGTTATATTTATTAATATTATTAATTATAAATTAATTACTTAAAATATAAAAAATAATAACATAAATAATTAATTACAATAAAGTATTACCACTTTTAGTAGCTTATTTTTAATCTTAAGAGTTAAATTTAATATTTTTTAAAATATTTATTGTTATTATTTTGCATTGCGTATGCATTTATTTTTTAGTTAATAATATTAAAAAATATAACAATAATATTATTTTTGTTTACGAACACTATTGTAGAACTTTTTTAATACAGTGTTAGATATTATCATTACTTCAAATATTAAAAATATTGTTCTTTGTTTCAATAAAAAAAAATATGTACTAACATAGATAAATTGAAATAATAAAGTAAAAATTAAAAATATAAATCGAACTTATCTTGTATCATTTTGTTTAATAACTATAATTTATAAATATATTTATATTAAAAATATATGTAAGTCTATATGTCATTTATGAATTATATATTTTTTAAAACAAAACATAAGTTAGACATATATTAAATGATTTATAATTTTAAATTTTTAAAATATGTAAGTCAATTGTATATGACATTACGATTATAATAAATTATATATATATATATATATATAATTTAAATTTTATATTAGATATATAATTTTGCTAAAACTTACACATGTATTAGGTGATTAATATGAAATAAGTATTTGTATAAAACAATAGAATACATAAATATTATATTTAACTAATTGTACATATTAATGTATTTATTTATTAAAAAATTAAATTATATATTTTAACTTAATACAAGGCAAAATTATTATTAAGTAATTATATAGTATAATATTATTTTTTAAGTTTATAATTTAAATATATACAATATTAAACAATATTTGACTTATTAAAATTAAATTGTATATTTTTAACTTAATATAAGGCAAAATATTATTAAGTTATTTATATAGTATAGTATTGTTTTTTATGTTTATAGTTTATGTAATTGTAATATTAAATAATATTTTTTAAGTATTTATAATATTGAATAACTTTAAAATTATCTGAATAGAATATATATATATATATATATATATATATATATATATATATATAACTATACACGTAATCGATATAATGTATAAAATCTAATGAAAAAAAATAACACCTAAATTAAATCAAATCAGCTAAGTGATGTAGTCTTTTAAATGACTTACATACTTTATGTTTAGTACTTTTAAATGTGTTCTTCAACCTCAATTCCTTCCTTTAGTAATTATCCTTCTTTTTAACATGTTTTGTAGTATGTTAACAATCCTTTTAACCTCACCTACATTAGAAAAAAAAATTCAAATGAGTTTAAAAAAACATCATAATAGTGTTATATAAAATAAATAACATGCACATAAATGTAATGTAACAATAGACTTAGAATGAGTGAAACTAATGCTACCATTTGACACCCTATAGAGAATATGTTTAGCACCCTATCAGGTTAACCCTCAATTAATGCAATACTTTGGTAAATACATCTTAAAATGAATGATGTGCTTTATGCGTGATATATGGGGTCCAATAAACATTATCATTCTTGATTAGATTAAGAGAAGTGAGAAAAGGCTTCACTTTACTTGAACCTTTCACAAGTGTCTAGCAAGTTTCAGTGTATTTTAATAATAAATATCAAGACCCAAACATTAAAAAGTGTAAAAAAAATCCAGCATTATTAAGAAAATTTTAATATTTAATTAATTTACTTTACAAAAGTAAGTCTCAAAACATAACTAAAAAATATATATTAATGTCACATAAGTATTATTTAACCTCTAATTTGTCAAGTGTGATGCATGCTAGCATCACTTAAATGTTTCTTAGAAGAATGCAAGTGCAATAGCCCCATGCATACCTATTAACTATGATTAGGTTGTAAAATAACTTCAAGTAAACTATTGACACAAAAGTTGCATTTTCATTTGCATATATAGTGCAACCTACCAAATGGAGTAAGAGTTGCGTACTCCAAATAATCATACTATGGCAACATGTGATAAACATTTTAAAGCTAAATAAAATGTACATATAAATCACACATAATAGTCATCTCCATCAATACATTGGTTATAATAATACATAGTAAACTTGCCAATATTGAGCAAGTAAGTATTCTAGACATCAGAAGATGTAAAAAAAAAAAAAAAGACCTACCACAAATAGATAAAATATGACACATTATCCAATTTAATTGTCAACTTCCTATATAATAGGTGAAAGCTACTCATGTCTCTATGTCATTTCTTAACAAAGGTACACATGAGTCCCTTGTCTACCATCAGTAGATACAATCTACTTCTAAAGGTGCTACTTAAAATCTTTGATAATATTCCATATGTAATTGTAAGGTCTCTAACATCTTCCACGCTACAATTTCATTTTCCTTTTTATGGTTAGTTAAATGGAGTATTTCATCATCAAATGCTTCTTCAATTTATTTAAACAAAATATTATTCTTACTATGCTAACTAATCCGTTAACACTCAAGATTATTTCTTTAAGTTTATCTTATTTTTTGTTATTTAATAAACATCATATTTTGTTTTAATTTTTATAATCACTATTTTATTCATCAAAATTAGAATGTTAAATGATCCATCATAACTATTTTTATATTACAATTTCATTTTCATTTTAAAATTTAACTACTTGTACTTTTATATTAATCTAACAACTTTAATTACCTACAAGAATTTCAAAAAAAAAAAAAAGTTAAAAAGGAGATCTTATTCAAAATGTTACCTTATAAAAAGTAATGTTATAAAATTTATGTAATTTTGTACATTGCCATTTTTATTTTACGTGTGGGTTCATATGGTTATTTATAACTTACACACGTAATAAAAAATTAATTTATGAATAATAACTAAAATAAATATTAAACTTAAAATAATTGTGGAAACTTGAAATATTTATTAGTTAAAACAATATTTTATTGATTAAACTAAAATTTGATAGGCTTGAATATATTTTTATTTCTCACATTTTAGCAATTTTTTTTTATTTTAGCCAATTCAAACATTTTTTTTATTTTAATCCTTACTTTTTCATATAAATATTTATTTTTTGTTCCTGATGCTAATCTTATTTATTGAAATATTGTCAACGGTCAGTTTTTAGTTCGATCAGGTCAACATGAGGGACTAAAATCAAAATTTATAAAAATGTAAGAACTAAAATTAAAAAAATTGATTAAAAGAATTAAAAGAAATTCGGTGAAATGTAAGGAATAAAATTATATTTAAACCATTTTAATATTTTTTAAATAATAGTTTCAAGCAACTGCTATAAAATATATTTTAATTTATATTTGAATATTAATAAAACAATATTCAATTAATTAAATTAAATTTCTCTTCAATGTTTTTAAATTTATAATTTTTTTCACATTTCACCTTTATTTACATTATCGTGCTATGCAAGGAGTACTACCTACTTACTTAAAATAGTATCATATAATTTTTCTATTTTGAGTATAATGCATCCTTTTTGTTTTTGTTTCTTTTATATTTACCTAAGCAAAACAAAATAATAATAATAATAATAATAATAATAATAATAATAATAATAATAATAATAATAACTTGCCAAATAAGAGAATCAAATAAATAAAAATATTTTCATAGATTAATATTAACTTATGCTCTTTTATTTTTTAAAATTTTTTTCAACTAACTTCAAAATATAAGACGCATAAATTAATTTTAACTTATAAAAAATTTATTTTATTTTATCTTTTTTTCCCCTCTTATAAGTAATAAAAAAATAAGCTTATCCAAACTAAGCCTATTATTGCTCACACACTACCCCTGGCTAATGATATCAAATAACAAATGAGATTTACTCGACAACATTTAATAAGACAAACATAGATTCCACCCAATAAAGGATAGTAGGTTAAAAAAGTGCATGAGAAATTGCTACCCTTTATCTCCTAAAGGATGGAAAGTTAAGAAACAGCCAGCTTCAAAGGCTAGTAGATATATGCACAAATAAACAGATCAGATAAAGCCAAACATATTAGAACGGTGTATCAGTGGATTTTCTCATCAAAAGTCAGGCTTGTCCCTTTTTAGTGGAGGCCTCTTCACAGTTGGAAGGAGCTCTATGAGCTCCTTAGCATGGCTATTCATGCCCTTAAATGAATAAACTTTAATCATGGTTCTATAAGTAATGATATCGGGTTTACAACCTCTCTGTTTCATCATCTCAAGCACTCCCTTCATCTCAGCTAAACAACCTAACCTCGCATAAGCATCCACCAAGCAATTAAAGAATACAGTGTCCAGTGATACATCTGAATTGTCAACAAAACGCAAGACACCACCAATTTTTTCAGGCTTACCCGCATGTGCATAAGCCCTCACCAGTGAGCATAGTGTAACACAACTAGGCTTTATTCTCTCTGACCGCATTAGTCTAAACAAATACTCCATCTGTTTGAGATCCCCAGCCTTCCCAAAAGCATCAATCACAATATTGTAGGTCACAATTGTCCAAGAGTAATGGTACTTCTGCATGTATTCCATCACAGCACTCATTTTCTTGTAATCCTGAGCCTTGCCATAGGAATCCAAGAGAATATTAAAAGTCTGAACGTTAGGTTGGATTCCAGCAGACTGGAACTTATCATAACACCTCTCCATTGTTTCTATTTGCCCAATGTTTCCAAAGGCCCTCAGAGTAGAATTCATGGTCCATACATCAGGTTGGCAATGCCGGTCAGCAAGCATTTCCACAAGTATAGATTCCATTTCCGAAAACCTTTCAGGAACAAGAAATATATTTTAGAGATATGCAAATATGATGTTAAATCATGCTACAGCTGGTTGCAAAAAGAATAAAACACAAGCAAAACAAACTAAATAAAACAAGAACAATTTCTCTCTCTCAATTATACTACTTGGAAGGGAAGAAGGTTGTGAGAAGCCAGGGATGAATAATGGTGTGTCAGTGCCCAACTGTAGGAACAAAAATGCACTTTGCCAAAGAGCTCATTTATGGAAATCATAAAGATTAACACTGCCATCCATCTAGCTATCTTTACTTTGCATTTTAAAAAGATAGAGCCTCTTTGATCAATAAATTGTTTGATTGTATCTAGATTCTAGACTATGATGGAAAAGTAGGTAGTTGATAAAATTCAAGTTCTATCAGCAACCAGAATGAGCATGTATTACTTCCACAAGGTATAGAGAGAGACAGGTAAACAGCTTACTTTCTTGCCTTCCCATAAGCATCAATAAGGGTGTTGTAGGTAACTGTGTTGGGTTTGATTCCATGATTGGCCATGTCAGATAAAAGACTGTGAACTTTGTCAAATGCAAAAACATGCAAGCAAGATTTTATGAGGATTGAATAAGTTTGAACATCAGGCTGACAGCCAGGTGTCCTCTTCATTTCCTCGAGAAGAGAGAAGGCTGTGTCCATGTGACCACTCCTGCTATAGGCAGATAGCAATGCAGTGTAAGATTCACAATCTAAAACACAACCCTCATCAACCATAGCTTGAAAGAGTGCATGAGCTTTCTCAGGTTGCCTACATTTTCCAAGCATGACTATTAGCTTGATGTATACACCAGAGTTAGGCCTGTACCAGAGCTGTTCACGCAGTAGTTCAAAAACCTGAAACCATGAGAGTATCATTTGACATGATTAAGAAGTCTTCCTACAAAAAAGACAGTAAGAAGAGTGTGTGTGTAAGAGACAGTAGGCACAAATACATTTCAACCATTGTTTTAAAACTCACGCTTAAAAATCATAACATGCAAATGAATTCCTAATCTAATTTCTTTCCCAGTACATGAAATCCTTAAACAACAGTAATTCAGTAAAAAAATGCTTCCTCGTCCATCAATTTAACTCTTCCTAAGTTGCCACATTTTAAAACTTATCTTCTATATTCTAAATGCAAAATGCTTCCTTGTATCTTTACTTTCTTCCTCCGACATTTCATGTTTCTTGAATTGTATCCAAATAAGTACTGGCACATGCTCACTTCACTTCCACAATTAGATAGAGGAACAGAAGTAATATATGAAAGGATATGGGGAGAGAGGGAGAGATTAACATACTCTAACACTAGCCAATATAATACATGATATGGAGGATGAAGGAAAACAAGTAGACGGATATAAACGTGCTCAGAGTAGGCAAATGAACATTTACCACATTCCGTAAAAATGAAAAAAATCCTGATCTCTAAAATACAGTATGCAAACCATGTGTTCATAGGGATTTTTACCTGCCTCCATTCACATATAAAATCAATGATTGTAGCTAACATAGCATTCCATTGGGTGACATTAAAGTGCATTTAAATTAAATCTTAAAAATAAATTAAAAAAAAAAAAAAAGAACAAACGGAAGAGACCTTGAGAGCAGATTCCCAACGCAGAGCCGTGACTCTTTCGTGGAGGGCTTCAAGGACGGTTCGGGGAAGAAGCTTCTTGGAATTGATGGGACCCTTCTTCTTTTTCTTGTCAATAACGGCTTTCGTGGCTTCTCTCCAAAGTATAACAGACACAGCTTTCTGTGATGCTATCTTTCTATTGACCATCTCCTTCCTCTCCTTCGCTTCCTTCGCCTTCAGCTTCTCCAATTCCTTCTCCACTGTCCGCGTGCGAGGAGAAGAGGGCTGGGGTGGAGGCAAAGCTTGTGCTCGCGTCGAAGAGGTTCTGTGAGTGGTGGTTAAAGTAGGAACACGTGTGGTAGCGGTGGTGGAGAGTGAAGCCATTCCACTTTGTTTGGGAGTTGGGACAGCACCATGAGGTAGAGGAAGCAAGCGAGATATCTGTGCAGTCCAATGCAGTCAGCAAAATCTCTACTGTTCACGCTATCCAACGCTTCTTGTGCATCCACGTTCTCTCCTATAAAAGCCTGAATTTGGATACCTCTAACGCATCTTTTTAACATTTTTTAAAATATATTTTTATGATTCATAATTTTTTAAATATTAAAATGTTTTATTCTCTACATTAATTATTTTCAATATTATTTTAATTTCAAAAAATTATTAATACTTTAAATGTGTTGACGATCAATCTATCCTCCTCCCGTCCGAAAGGGATATAAGATTAGAGATGAAAATTGAATTTGGCTTATTTTTTAAATTGATACTTGAATTTGATGAGATATTCTTTTGAGATCTAAATTTTTTGCATTATTAGCAAGAATTGTAGTTTGCAATTTAAATTTTTAAACTAAATTTGACAAAAAAATTTAATTTAAGTAAAAAAAATGTTGCTTAAGTGAATTTAATGAAAAAATAATTTTCCTTTAAATAAATTAAATTTATTTAAATTAAAATTACAAAATATTTATAACTTTATTTTATTCTTTTTTAAATTATAAAACATTTGAAGAATCTTTATTTCTTATTAATAACTAACTAATTAATATAAATTTTTCCATATATCATCATATTATATATTTTAAATATAGTATTTAATGTATTATTTATGCTATTGATGAAGTATAATTATTTGAAATTAAGTTAAATTGTTAAAAATAATACTAATAATTATAGAGATAATGATTTTGAGAATTTTACTGACAAACAATTGTATTATTATATAATATGAGACTCTCAAGATGAAATTTCATCTTGATGAGTTTTTTTTCAAAATATGTAATAAAAACATGAAGATTAAGAAATTTTTTATTGACATATTTATAGTTTCTATTGTTCTGCATTTTCTAAAGAAACTCTTTGAAAATAAAATTATTTGTATATAAGACTAACAATAAAGATAACTATAAAGTGTGACCATATAATTTTGTATATATATTTTTTGAATTTTTATAAATTAAAAAAAATTAAAAGTTTAAACTTTTTTTTTACTTAAATAAAAATCACTTTTTCACCTAAGCAAATTTAGACAACTATAGTTCTTCGCCAAAATTATAGATCATTTGAATTCATCTTTTAATACTTTTATAAGCTTAACTTATCCTATAAATCTATTAAAAAATTATTTTGCATAAAGTGGTTAAAAAATATATCTCTAAATAAGTTAATGAGCTTAAATTTATTTTTATATTAATAAATTGAAATTTTTAAATAAATAATATATGTAATTTTAAAATATTACATTAATAATATTTATGTTCAATTAAATAAGTCAGTAGGCTGTTTAGATGACATAAAATTTAGCATTTTAAATTTAATAAGTTTTTTAAAAAATTATTAATCTAATTTATTTAATATGAAAGTGTAGAAAGTATATATAAATCTTACAATTATATACGAACGATAAAAATTAATAAACTTAAAAGGTTACTTGATCAATTAAAAAAATCAATGTAACTTTTTAAAAAATTTATATAATTTATATTTTTTAATTTAATAATTTATAATAATATTAATAATCAAAGCTTATTTCTATCGTTCTTATATTAAAGAAAAATCTTTCAATATATATATATTGTGAAGAAAATATAATTAATAAATATATAAAAATATATTACTTTTAAATTTTTTAAATTCAATACTTTTAATTTCTAATAATAAAGAAGTTTTTATGTATCAAATTTTTTTACTACTACGCTGTTGTGAAGGACAGTATACATCGGTAATATTCTCTCCGCTTTTTTATAGTTCAGTTTTATTTATATAATGTAAAAATTAAAAAATTATTTTGGTTCAAAATTAGTGATCACAAACAGTATCTTTATCCAATTTGTATTTAAGGTATACATAAGTTATTAAAAATATTATTATTATTAAAGAAAATTAATCAAAGTAATTAACTTTTTAAAATTTAAAATGGGTCTATCAAACACACTTTTAATGCATTATAAAAGCTTAAAAGTTAATTATAAAAATACGTGACTTAAAATAAAACTTAGATGCAATATTATAAGTATATTTATATTATTATCTAATTAAAATTAGAATTTTATCCAAAGAATTTGCATTGACCTTTATAATAACTTTTGTTATTCAAGTAGCAAACTAAAACTTCGATTTTGATTAAAAAAAAGTACCAAAAGCACCAGAGATTTATTTCCCCAAACCATACATCAATCAGCAAAACAGAGAATATTTCAGAGTTCTGTTTAAACAACCACATCAAGGTATATTCTGGAGATGTAAAATCATTAAATTATAAACTGTGGTGCTTAAGTTATTGCTCAGTTCTCTAAGTTTGCTACAATGTACTTCGTCAAATAAGGGAACAAATTTTCAGTGCTCTGACAGAATGTCTAGTATTTGCCTCATTTGCACTGTCTTCAAAATCCAGTTTTAGTGCTCTCAGTTTGCTATCTACCATTCATGTCTGTAATACTAACAGTATTGATGGAGCAGAGTTGATGACTTTCTTTAGATGACTCTGAACTCAACATATTCTGCCTCAGGATGAATGCAGGTTGACTTGGAGGAGGAAGATATGCAATCTCACTGTTAAGCATAGAAATTACAACAGCCATAGTAGGCCTGTCTACAGCATGTTCTTGTACACATAGAAGTCCTATGTGTATGCACCTTAAAATATGGTTATGATGACTAGGATCATATATCCCTGTATCTATTAAAGACAAAATATTTCCTTCCCTCCATTGTATCCATGCCTAAAATGAAAAGAAGAAAGAAAATCATTTGGAAGTTATATCAGCAGAAGGTAAAAGAACTCATAATTGAGCCAAATATAAATGGTTGAGACTTACAAATCCTAAAAGGTGAGCATGTTCATTGTCATAAAAGCTTGAGTTTCGTTTCCCACTAACAATCTCTAGTATCAAAACACCAAAGCTAAAGACATCTGATTTTTCTGAAAACAATCCTTGCATTGCATACTCAGGGGACATATAGCCACTGCATTGAAATGTAAGAAATGATTCTCCAAATATTTTAATATAATATTGGACAAAGAAGGCTCACTTACTAAGTTCCAACAACCCTGTTTGTATTGGCCTGGTCTTCAGTCCCTCCAAAGATTCTAGCCATACCAAAGTCCGATATTTTTGGATTCAGCTCTTCATCTAACAAAATATTGCTTGCCTTCAAATCTCTGTGAACAATTTTTAGTCTGGAATCTCTGTGAAGATAAAGCATTCCTCGAGCAATTCCTTCTATTATCCTAAAGCGCTTCTTCCAATCTAGGAGTTCATTTTTTGATGGGTCTAAAAAATAAGGATATTAGTATACTATTTTGAACATAACATGAGAAGATGAAACTGAGTCACCTAAATCCCTTGATTAGCATGCTTTCAAGATAACTAACTATCCATGAAACAATTCTTTGTGTCTAAAATATTATATATATAATCTAAATAAAGGGAAACATGAAAGTTTGGAATTGATATGAGGTAAAAACTAAAGGTTGCAACAAAAAACTAACCAAAGACAAAAGCATCCAAACTTTTGTTTGGCATGTACTCATATATCAACATCTTTTCGTCGCCGTCAATACAGCAGCCAAGAAGTCTTACAAGATTTCGGTGTTGAAGCTTGGAAATCACGCCTACTTCATTCATGAATTCTTGTAGCCCTTGTCCAGATTCTCTAGAAAGTCTTTTAACAGCTATTTCCTGACCATCTTGCAGTTTCCCCTGGGATAAAAGATTCAGAGATAACAATTGACAATGGCCATAAATATGATAACTTTGTTTTAAGTTACCTTGTAGACCGGACCAAAACCACCCTGCCCTAGTTTGTTGGATGAGTGGAAGTTATTTGTGGCCACTACAAGCTTTTCCAAATTGAATAGTAATAGCTCCTGGAGTTTAACTTGTGATATTTCTCCAATAACGTTGTTGCTTGTAAGGCCATCTGATATTTCAACTTTGTTACACAGCATGAAAGCTTTGTTCTTCTTTCCCCTTCCTGATTTAATAGATTGCCACAGTTTAGCTGGAGTGAGAAACATAACATCGGTTCCTTTACCAATAAAAAATTGAAAATTTTATGACTGAACTTGAAACCATGTAGATGGTATATCACCTGGCTGATTAGAAGTCCTCCACATGACATATACACAAGTAACAATTATGATAGTTCCTAATATCACTGTAATTGTAATGATGATGATTGTTTTATTTGTTCCTTTATCTGTCATACCAGAAAAATTTGAAGTTAACAAATTCAGTCCAAACCTATGTTTCAAACGTCGGATTAGATCAACACAAACATACCTAACATATCAAATTCTGTATGAGCTAGACGAACATATAGATCAACACCTCCATCATAGAAATGCTGAATGTCAAGTAGATTCCCAGTCCAAGACATACAGCCAATGGCTGCATCGTGAGAATACGCAACGCAAGAGCAATTCTCCAAGCACTGGCTTCTGCATATATCTTGTGTAACAGTTGATCCTTCTGCAAAATCTGGAACTTTAACCATTTGCAGTTTCCAAAAACCATCTTCCTTTCTATCTACACTAGTGTTTTGATCTTTGACCCTTTCACACTGCAAAGGAGTCCTCCTAACACATCCACTAGTCCAGTTTTGTCTATTCCATTCCCATTTGTTCCTTGGTTCAAACCCTTTCAAACAGCTGCATATTGGTGAGCTCTTTGAATCACAATTTGCAAATGCACCACATACACCATAAACATCACATTCAGATTGGAGACTAGTCCACCTAACTTGCATTTCTTTGGTCTCATCATTCCAATATTTTAATTGAGTTTGGCCTTGTGAATTCAGGCTATAGATATAAAAAAGTAATTCATTTGGAATTGTGTAATAGAATTCAATATTTTCTTTCCCATCATCTCCACCACGAAAACTAGTAATATATGCACTTGTCACCATCCACTGTACCCCTATAAAGACTCCACCATTCCATGGACCACTGCGCCAGTATGGTCTACTTTCATTCCAAATGAATATTTCGGGAAGATTTAGGCGTTCAATACTATAATAGAAGCTCCCGATGGATGGATTAGAAGGGCTTTTCCATGATGTAATTTTTACTTTCTCACCCGTTCTTTTGTTACATGATAATTTCATACCAGGGAGTATTGTATCTGAAGGTTGCTGAAAACTATCCCATAATATGATTCCTTTAGTGCTTTCCATGAGAACAAGTTTTCCGTTGTCTGAAAACTGGGAACTAGTGTTGGATGTTGTAGTTGACACATTTGATGACCAAATAACTCGGTTTTGTCCATTCAATACCACAAGATTGCCATCTTCAGATATTGCAACAACCCCAGAAGAACCATTCAATGGCTGGTTTCTGTTAGCAACCCATATGACTGTGGATTGAGACTTCCACCAAATTCCAACGTAGCGATTTGTAGAATTTTCTGGGCTGAAGAATCCCAATGTGAAGTTACCATCTTTGGAAATTAGAGTTTCTGGGTCCTTCATGAAATGAGATGATGTGATGGTGTCTAAGGCAACCCCAACTTCTAACAAATAACAACACAGCATCAACAAAATAAAGAACAAATTTGAGTAGCTGTTGAAACCCATTACTGGGATGAATATAGGTTGTATAAGATCTACACAACTTGATCCTAAGGGCACCTCTTTCTTCATTAAGATTTTACACTTCCCAATTACGAGTCAGCACCGTACGGCATCATAATGAGAAGTTCAAACTTGCTTTCATAACAATTAATGCGTGCCTCAAAAAATCTATCGACTCCCGTTACATTAAATTGTTCAGTTCAGTGCTGTTGCATAGAATTCACAAACTCCGTTGTCCCCTTTCAATTTCTTTGTTGCTTTCCTCTTTTCCCATTTTCTCTTTCATATTCCTTACTTCTTTATAATAATTTTTTAATTAAATATTCTTTCAGCTTAAGCCACCTTCTAAAATTTTTAATAATTCTTTTCTTTAAGACACTTTATTATATATTTCTATTTACCTTTAATAAATGAAATTGATAATTAATTAAAAATATAAATATTAATAGAATTGGATTCAATAGTATTAAATGAAGATAAAATTTTTATTTATAATTTTTTAGAAAATAAAAATTAACAACTTTAATTACTTTTAAATTAAATTATAAATTTATTCTATATATTTGACCATTTTTTAATTTGGTCCTTACACTTAAAAGGTGTACAATTTTGTCTCTATATAAATAAAGATTTACAAATTAGTTCTTATTGTTTGAGATCTATTAATTGTGTTAATTTTTGTTGATGACATGGCTCAATAATTATTTATATTTATAAATTTGGTCAATAAGTAGACACTTGAATTCTGAATCACCTTCATCTTTCCCACCATCATCTTTACAATTGAGTATAGACGAGTTTTAAAGATTATTTCATTTTTTATTTCTTTTGTTAAAGCCTTAAATTTCTCATTTGAACGATATTTTATTTAACTTGTCGAGTGTTTTTGCTTTGTATATCCGTTATTTATGATAAAGTAATGTTTTATTCTATTTTAATTCTTCTTATTTATAATGAATTTCTTTTTATTCTGATTTGCCTTTAGGAATTACTTGTACATGCAAAAATGCGTTCTTAAAATAAACATCAATGTGATGAGTGTAAGAACAAAGTTAAGAAAATTTTACACAAGATATATAGTAAGCATTTATTCATTTGCAAAGCAGCAAAAAAAAAAGTGTGTTATCCCTCATTGATTCACATAAATAACACCAATTTTTTTTTATTGCATGCTAAATCAATGGTGTGTTTAGTTATTTATAGGATGCATTTTTTTTATAAGAGTTTTTATGTTAGAGATAGATGTAAAAGAAGGATAGGTGACATTTTTAGGAAATGAAATGTGGAACCCAATGTTCTCATCAAGAAGCTTGCAATATCAGGGATACATGCAAAGCTATACGGTGCATACAAAGGAAACAACAACTTTGTTAACTAGTAAATCAACATGCAAATTGACAATGACAAAAGTAGGGTAAACAATAAGAATCAAAATCAGAAGGGGGTAATTAACCAACACAACTACAACAACTTCAACAATTAAAAAGCTTTCAATATCTAAATTTGCAGCCTAAGTTCAAGGACATGCAATTGCCAAATTAGAACCCTCTGCCAATTGTCTAGTCATTGACCAATTGTGCAAATGGATACTCTTGTCAAGTTATGTAATCAACAAAAATTAACACTATTAATAAACTTCAACGACAAGGACTAATTTGTAAATATTTATTTATATAAAGACTAAATTATATACTTTTTAATATAGGGACCAAATTAAAAAAGTGTGTTAAGTATATAGACTAAATTGATAATTTTTTATTTTTATTCATTTATGTAAGTTAGTTAAAATTATCTTATAAATGAATTAAATAGAATAAGAAGTATCAAGAAGTGAAAAGTTATTAAAATTAACTAATTCGTTAATTTTAAAAAATTAGTTATAACATTTTAAGTTTTTCAATATTTTAAAAAAATTTAAACTCTTATTATATTAAGAGTTATTTTAATGGATATGTCAAACCAAATATTAAGAAATTACTAAATATCAATTGAGAAGCTAATAAAATTAATTAATGCACTTTTTAAAAAATAATCATAACATTCTAAGTTTAAGTTTGTCTATATTGAAAGTCAAACTCTTATTATATTAACAAATTTTTTTAATGCGTATCTAAAAGTACATGTTAAAAATTAAAAAATAATAATTTTTTATTAAATTTATAATATTTAATATTTTTAGTGTACTGAATATTGTAATATTTTATAATTTTTAATAAAATTTATTATATATAAATTTTTATTGTGTAGCTTTAAAAACTATTAAAAAATCGTTATTTTTTAAATATTGTGAAGTTTAAACAGTTTAATATATATATATAAAGATGATGAGTCTTTTAAAATCTATAAAAGGTTTTTTACAAAGGGTCACAAATTATTATTTTTTTAAAAATGGTCTTATTAAAAATAGAGGAAGTATTAACTTCCCTCGTCACATCTATGAAGAATCATTGATGTATTTAAATTTAGAAGATTATTTTTTGCATATATTTTTTATAGTTATTTTTGTAAAAAATAAACATATTCGTGTTTTTTCTTAATTTAATTTTTAAACATATATTTTATACATTATAAAAATTATTTGTAAATTAAATTTATAGTTTACTATTATAAATAAAATATAAAAATACATTCAGAATTAAAATTTTTAAAGCGATTTAAAAATTATACATTTCTCTCCAAACGGAGTCTTGGTCTTACAAAGGGGACAATTATAGCATAAGGACAAGTTTTGAGTTCCACTTGCCTATCCTTTTTCTGACCAACGAATCCAAACGTAACCATTTTAATTTGGGATAAGAACGAGTCTTCATATTTTAAAATGCATGACACCACACCACACGTCAGTAACTATTACTAAAGGCATATAAATATGCTTCTTTCTTGCTTATAAATCTATATCTATTTCTATTATGTAATTTTTATTTTAGGAAAATTCCTTATATATATATATTTTACATTGCAATAGGAAAAATATTTATAACAAAATATATTAAATGACAAAATTTTGATTTATGAATATCTTATGCATGATAATGTTTATCTAAAAAAAGGATTTGAATAGATCATAAGTTTAAGAACTCTCTATTTTCAGACTTGTGAATTTAAATGAATACAAATGAATACATGAGTCTTGGAAACTCTATGAGACATAATTAAAATTGTTAAAAAATTTAATTTGCCTAATTCTATCTCTAACTAACGAAGAATAGAGCTAAAAAGTTATATAAGCTAAAAAATTTAATAAATCAAAATTTTATAAACTAAAAAGTGCGTACAGTTAAGGTTAGATTAGAATCTTATAGATAAAATAAAATTACTAATATGTATCTTAAAAACTTAAACGACAAAAAATTGTCTAACTTATACAAATTTATATATTACTCTCAACATAAAAAAATTTATTCTTAAGATTAAATAAAACTAAAATAAAATTAAAATAAAAAATTATTATTTTAATTTATTCATATATAACCAAATAAAAATTCAATTGTAATAATAAAAAGATTATCTATTATATTTTTTTCTTCAATACATAGAGTTTTATTATTGTTAACTAATGGTAATATTTTTATATATTATTTAATAAAATTTATATTTATAATTCATAATTAAATAAAAAATATATTTATAATTCATTAAAAACTCATTAATATGTTTTTATAAGCTTTTTTTTTATAATTTTTGTACGTTATTGTTTCTTATTTATTATTTTTTGGTATAAAAAATATTTTTACATGTCATCAAGTATCAATACATATATAAAATAAGTATTAGTCTTTAAATATTTCTTTTTAATGTATTTTGTTAGTATTTTAATTTAGTAATTATATTACTGATTAGGAAGTTTATAACGATACAAGTGTCACTTTAAAGAGGTGACTTAACAAGTTAGAACAAAATACTCGTTAAATAAATTAGTATATTAATTAATTAGAATTATGACTGATATATTAATCATAATTAATTTTCTTACAAAACTTATTCATTTAATAATTATATTATAATAATGTGTTTAATATTTAATAAATATATTTTATTAAATTAATAATATATTCAATTTAATAATATGATATCAAATTTTAATGAAGAATATGTTTTCTTTGTATAAATTAAGTAAAATATTATTTAAAAATTTAAACATAAATGCACATAATACTTATTTGAACACTTATTATATATCTTAATAATATATTTAATGATATTTAGAACCTAAGAGACAATATGTATAAATTTTAAAGTTTTAAAAAATTCATTAATTATTTAAAATATTAATCTATAAACTAATAATAATAATGTGCTTCCACTATAATGTTACATTACATTTTCTCATAATCTTTTATTTTTAATTTTTATTACTTCATTTATATTTTATTAATTTTTCTCACAATTTAATTAAATGTTACTTGATCTTTTGTACTCTATTCTTTCCAAGTATCTTTTATAATTCAATAATAATTTTTAACATTTTCTTGAAAAAGAATATAAAAATGCAATAATGTTAATAAAATACAAAATTATTTTTATATAATATAAATAAAGAATAATTCACAACATCATAATCGAAATATTTATTTTAATAAAATTATTAAATTATTTATAATAAAATATTTAAATTAATTAAAATATCTTCTACTGAGTATTCTTATTATGTTATATTTTACTATAATTTAATCTTTTATTATTAATTTTTTTATTTATATGTTGATCTTTTGTATTCTAAACTTTTAAACTTATTTTTATAATTTTATAATAATTTAAAATATTTTTTTAGAGAGAAAAATATTAACATTTCAATAAGTTTTAATAAAGTATAAACTTCATATTATATAAATTAAATAGAGAAAATAAAAAAAAAACTAATATAATACTCAACACTATAACATATTTGACAATCTTTTGTTTAATTAAAATATTAAAATTATTATAAAAAAATATTATGAATTAATGAATAGAAGAGGATAAAATAAAATATATTCATTTTGAAACTATTTATTTTTTTTAAAGTGAGGTTGACATTATAAAAAATTGTTAGAGTTGACATTTTTACATGAAAAAAAATACATAAACATATTATGAATCAATATTTTACGATGCTAAGTAAATATATATGTTTTTCAATTAATTGTTATATATACATTAAGTGATTAGTGTAATATAAAGAATAATAATAAGCACAAATAAGTTTATAAATCATATACTTTAAATGTTTTGTCCCTCCAATAGTTACAGTTCACAATAATTTAAATTTTAAATTATTCAATTCAAAGAATAAAAAATATATATAAATTATTCTAATTATAACTTGAATAAAGTAATATTTAAATATTAGTTGAGAGACGTATTTGATATTATAATTTTTTTTAATAGCAACATGATAAATAATGAATTGTTCATTACTAAATTAATAATTTTGCTTTTTAACTTAAATAAAATTTTTCATATTGTATTAAATGATATTTTTGTTTCACATGATTTATTTTTAAAATAAAAAATTTAGTGGAACGAAAATATTCACTCTTATGAATTATTTTTCAAAAAATAAAATTGAAAAGTAAAAGAATATTAATTTAGTCTAGAATTATACTTTTAGTGAGATTGTAATGAAAAGTTGCTCTAATAATGTTTATATTAATTTGAGAATTGGAATAATTGTGATTAAGTTCTATTTTTAATTAATAAGAGTTTGTAGATATTTTTTTTGTCAATTTGTTTTAAATTTGTGATATTTAGTTTAATTTTGTTATAATGAGTAATTTAAAATATATTTTTTTGTTAGAATACAGGGCTTACAGCCCAATAATTTAAAGTATTAAATGAATTTATTTTATTTTCTTTTTTTATTTTAAATTATTATAAGTATTTGAGATATAAAATAAGGATGTTACATGAAGTCTACGATAATAATAGTCTTAATTGCTATACATTATACACAAATTTAGAGGTTTTTCACTTTTTCTTTGCAAATAAGCCAAACTTCTTTTATTATTATTATTGTTGTTATTTCTCCCTAATTTTAATAAAATATTTTGCCTTTTCTTTTTTACTTTATTTTTTTATTATTTTGTCTTCCAATTTAATAAAATGAAATATTATAATGTCATTAATTACTTTTACTAAAACATCAAATATATATTTTTCAAGTTTTAAAAATATCAAAATTCTTACATTAAGTGACTTATAATGGATGAATTTTGATGCGTTTTTCTTATATTTTTTTAAAGATAAAATATGTTTTTTTTATAACAAAGTTTTATAACTTAATTATTGAGGCAGAAAAAAGGCAAAAATCACAGTACGTGACCATAAAATAAAGAATAAAGAAAGAAAATGATGAACATAATATCAACAAATCAAATAGTTTTGACACTTCAACTCTATTATTACCACCAAGTATTGTTTCATATATACCTATCTTTTAATTTAGATGCTTTTTATTTATTTTTATTTTATTAAAAAATTAAATTAAATAAAAATATAAAAATTTTATAGGATAAACAATTGTATAAAAATAGCTAAATATAAAGTATTAATTAATAATAATGTGTAACATTATGATTGAATTTATAACATCTTTATTCATAGAAAATAATAATTAATATTAAGTAATGATTATTCATTCTTTAAATAGTCATTTATAACAAATTAACATAAAATAAACAGAGTTTAAAGCCTAAGATAATAATAGTCTTAATTGTCATGCATTATATACAAACTTGGAGGTCTTTGACCTCTTGTACGCAAACCCCCTCTTTTTTTTTCTTTATTATTGTTGTTGTTATTTTTATTTTACCCCAATTTTAGTAAAATATTATGCTTTTTTCTTCTTACTTTGTTTTTTAATTATTATTTTGTTTTTCAATTTTTTTAATAAAATGGAGAGCAGGAATTTAATATCATTAATTGCTTTTATTAAAACATCAAATATATTATTTTATAAGTTTTAAAAATATTAGTATTTTGATATTATGTGACCAATGGCGGGTAAGGTTTGACGTGTTTTTTTTTCTATTTTTTAAAGAGAAAAATATGTCCTCTTTATGACAAAGTTTTAAGCTCGATTATTAAGGCAGAAAAAAGGCAGAGATCACGGCAATTGACAATAAAATAAAAAATGAAGAAAGAAAACATATTCAAGTGACTCAAAAAAAGATAGAATGAAGAGAGAAAACGAAGACAGTGATATCAACAAATCAAATAGTTCTGAGATTTCAGCTCCATCGTCGCTATCAAGTATTGTTTTACATGTACCTATCTTTTAGATTAGTTGCTTTTTATGTTGCTATCTACAAAAAAATGAAACATGTTCGTATCTCAGTATGTTATTTTATTTTTATTATGAATCTTGAAATTTTTTTATTTGATAAAAAATATTATCATGTACACTAGTGAGGGGGTATGAGGTCGTTTTTATAACTAGAACCATGATTGATAAATCTAAAGATAACAACTTTATCTTTATTGAAAAAATTGTCCTTTCTTTTCTCCTTTTAGGTAATTCAAATATTTTAAATTTTTTCTTTTACTTGTTTTGGGTCAGAGAGAATTAATTTACGTATTAATTTAAAAATTTATAAATTTTAAAGGGTCATGTGGAACTGATTTATCTTTAGATAAATAAAATAGTAATTATAAAATTAGGTTTGAATTAAAAATTTTAACTAATTAAATATTTGTTTATAATTTGAATGAATCCCTTCTCTCTCTTCAAAAGTGTAAGTTTTTCTGCTTTAGTTCCTTGATTAACTACAGAAAGAGTTGTTAAACTAGTTATTTTTACCAAATTAGAGTTTTTTTTTTAATTTGTAGCCTTGGAAACAAGTGGATGCAATTGTAAAACTGAATCTTTCTCTCAGTACTTGCCATGTATAATATTGTTAATGCTTCATGCTTTTGATTAGAATGTTAATGTCTGTGTGAGAATGAAAATAGATGTCTACTGTTTACTAAATAGCAGCATGATCATGAATTATTCACAGTGAGGAATACTAAGGATGGTATTACATTTAAATTGGACTTGAGGATACAAATCCTTCTTTATTTCCTCATTTCCATAATATGGTTAGACATAAATAAAATTCTATATCTATTCCTTTCATTTACACCGGAGATCACCAATATTGGTCTTGTCCTTTTTTAATGAATGTAGGAAAACTGAAGGGAAAAATGGTAGAGAAAAGTGAACTTCCTGAGGATGTCTTTGATATTATATCCAAGAAACTAGATTTTGATGACCTCTTTCAGTTTGGTGGAGTGTGCAAGAGCTGGAGGATATTTCACAAAAGTTACTTGAGAGATTTGATGGCATCCCAAGAACCATTAGTGGTCCAAACATCATTTCTCATGCAAGCTTATTCTTTCTTTAGCATACCTGAACAAAAAGTGTATGGCTCGGTGCGAAATTGCTACTTGAGTGAGTTTTTCTATTCAGGGTCTTCCTGTGGATATGTGATTATGGTTGGTATTTCAAACAACAAACTTCTTCTAATGAATCCTTTTGTGAGAAGAAAGGTGGAAATCAATATGTCAGCACTTAATGGTAACATAGAATATTTGGGTTGCAATGCCTTATTTGCTTTTGCAAAAGGTTCAGAGGAATTCATCGTAGTGGTTTCAGGTAAATATTTTCAATGTTTGCATATCTATGAATCTCGAAATTCTTGTTGGGTTACTTGTTCTGCACAGGGAGAACCTTGGACAGTAGTTGACTTTGTGGTTTTTGATAACACCATATATGCTATCACTAACAAGGGTGAGATAGGAGTATTGAGGCTGAATTCTCCAACTTTGAAATTTCTAAAATTGAAGAATATTCCCAAGATAATTGGCCTTATTCTTAAGTTGGTTAGTTGTGATGGGCAACTTCTAGTGGTTAATTTTGCATCTATGGAAAGATTGGATGTATACAAGATAGATTTCTCAACCATGGGTTATGTGAAGATGGAAACAATGGGAGACATTGCATTGTTTTTTGGGTGGACGAAGTGCTATGCATTGAGCAATCCAAGTAGGTGGGGATATGATAGCAACTCTTTGTACTTTGTTAATCGTTCAACTGCGGGAGGGAGTGTGTATTCAGAGGATATGAAACCAAAGAAATCAATTTTACCTTCGAGACCTCCACCTAGTGATCTTAGATCATCTCTCCACTGGTTGGACTGGTGTTTCAAGCGTCATGACCAGGTAGATTATTCTGTGGTTCACTAACTTGGTTGCTCTGCATTATGCAACTCGTGACTATGTTTGGACATTGTTCCTTGTATTTTCCTTTCATTGAAAACCTTGTTATGTTAGCACTTGCTTTTATTATATTTGTTTGGGTTGTCATTGGACTTGGGATTGTTATTATCCTAATTTATATTTTCTATTCTCTGAATTTTTTATGTTTAAAAAGGCTATATGAGTGTGTTTATCAATTACCTTTAAATGTTTTAATTAATATTGATTATCTGTTTTAATTAAAATATTAGTGTTTAAGTCATTTAAAAATTTCATGGAATATGTATAGTATGCACACATGTTAATGGTTATAAACTCTGCATAAGATCAAAGACAAGGACCTTGCACTTTAGTATTCATTTTGTATAATATTTTATGCTACTTTTTTCCTCGAATAAAGAATCACGTGTTCAATTTTAGTAGAATAACAATTTTTTAAAAATGAAAAAAAAATTTAAGTAAAATTCTAACGGAAGACAAAATATCTTGCATTTTATTACTAAGATTTGTTCCAATTTTAAATTATTCTTAAATTTTATCATTTTGAGTTTAATTTTTTTAATTATCAAAGAATAATCAGCCACTCTCACCATTTCTTTTTATTAATATCCTTATCTTTTTATATATTTCATTATAAACAAATGTTATTTTCTCTTTAGATTACCTTTTTCTTTTCTCTTTAGTTCTTATCAAAATGATCAACTTCAATGACTCTTGCTACCTTAACGTTTTTTTAGTATTTTTATATATAAAAAATGAAACATTTTTATCTCTAAGCATGTTTTTATTTTCGTTATGAATCTTGAGAATTTTTTCATTTGATAAAAATCATTATCGTGTACACTCGTGCAGGAGTATGAGGTTGTTTTTGTAACTAGAACCATGATTGATAGATCCAAAAATAACAACTTTATCTTTGTTGTAATATTTGCCCTTTCTTTTCTCCTTTTAGGCATCTCAAAGATTCTAAGTTTTCATTCTTTACTTGTTTTGCGCTTTTCTCCTTTTAGGTATCTTAAATATTCTAAGATTCATGTTGTACTCACATGAATATGTTAGTGTAAATTTTTTTATCATAATACTCATGACTACATAGAGCAAGATCAATCACTTCTAGAAATTTTGAAGGGCCTATAAAAATATTTTCATGTGAATTTGAACACTAATGAAAAGAGGAAGAAGATTAGAAGAAAAAATTCTCAATTTAAGAGGCTTAAGATCTTAAAGGAAAACATAAACTATAAGCTCCCTATGAATAATATCCTTTGCCTTAAATATTTCTTTTATTTTTATCCAAAGCTTTAGAGCACAATCACCCATCATTGTTAGAGATGCCTAAGCTTGAAATGATTTGAAAATTAGTATTCAAGGGAGTAAGAATAATAAATATGAACTCACGTGAAACTTTTAGACTTTATTTGAAAGTTTGAAGGGAGAAAAAAATGTTTAAAAGTAAGGAAAATGTTTATAAACCCTCAAAATTGGGAAAACTTAAAAACAAGGGATTGAGAAGGTTTAGAGGGTTTATAAACCCTCCCCTCTCATTTAAAATCTCTCAAATAAAGATAATCATCACATAAGTCTTCTCTTTCCCTTTCTTTTCTTCTAAAAATCAATTCTCAAACAAAACCTTAATGATAATGAACTTGAAATGTGTAAAAATAGAGCACAAGAAGACAAGTTGTCAAAGAGTCAGAGACACAACTGAAGTTATTAAAATAGGTTAAAGCCTTAAATCCTATCTCACTTAAATCCTATCTCACTTAACCTCCTGTATAGCCCTATTTTTTTAAAGTCCATTATTAGTGGGTTTATTTTTGTCCTAAGTCTCAATATAAAAAAAATAGTGGATTAGAGTCAAGGTTAAGAGTGAATTAACCTACTTATTTTAAAAAATAATTAATAACTATTATATCATTTATTTGTAATATTTGTTAAATTATTTTATTTAAATAAATTAAAAATTTATATTTTAAAAATAAAAATTAATTTTAAAATTAAAAAAATATTTATTTAATATATTAAAATTTTATTATTAAATATAATAATATTTAAAATATTATAAAATGAAATTAAATTTAGCTTTTTAAAATTTGGATACCACCAAGGATGGTGAGAGGAGCATGTACATTATATTATATTCCTTCAACATGAGGAAAGGATTTAAAATTATAGGTTGATTATTATAATGAGTTGCCTAAAGTAGTTAAAATTTAAAGTTTACATGTTGGATAACCATTTCCAATCATTAAGTTATACTTGGTTCAGTTGAAAAACCATATTATGCAGAGGCTTATGTCTCCCAGAGGTAAGACATTCTTTATCCTACAAACCTATCAAGTATTGTTATCCAACCAACCATATATAACATAAAAGATTTCAAAGTTCAAACTTCTCACACAAACAACTATTTAATAAATTTTAAAACTGATTTATCATGGTTCTCAATTTTGAACCATGTTCCTAAACAATGAAAAGAACAATCCTACAAAATTCTAACAATAATTTCCGCTAGACTTGAAATTTTTACTCAAAAAGCTACTAGTTTTCTATCTGCCATGGATGTCTGTAATACTGGCAGTGTTGATAGAATACAATCCAAGTCTTTCATCAGAGGAGACTGAATTCAACATATTCTGCCTCAGGATAAATGCAGGTTCCCTTGGAGGAGGAAGATTCACAATCTCACTGTTAAGCATTGAAATTACTGTAGCCATAGTTGGCCTGTCTGCAGCAAATTCTTGTACACAAAGAAGTCCTATGTGTATGCACCTCAAAATATCCTTGTGAAGGCTAGGATCATATATTCCTGAATCTATCAAAGTTACAAGATTGTCTTCCGTCCACTGTATCCAGGCCTAAAATGAAAAATAAAAAATGTTTTATAAGAGAAAGCAAGAAAGCTTCCACAACTAAGCTAGAGATGAATTATAGACTTACAAATCCTAAGATGGTCTGAGAATTTTCAGGGTCATAAAAGCTTGAGTTTTGTCTTCCACTAACAATCTCTAGTAGCAAAACTCCAAAGCTAAAGACATCTGATTTCTCTGAAAACACTCCATGCATTGCATATTCTGGCGACATATAGCCACTACATTGAAATATTAACAATTGATCAATTATCCAAGTATGTTACTCATTCCTAGTATAAAGAAGAAGGCTCACTTACTATGTTCCAACAATCTTTTGGGTATTGGCTTGATCTTCACTCCCTCCAAAAATTCTAGCCATACCAAAGTCTGATATTTTTGGATTAAGCTCCTCATCTAGCAAGATATTGCTTGCCTTCAAATCTCTATGTATGATTTTTAGCCTAGAATCTCTATGAAGATAAAGCAATCCTCGAGCTATTCCTTCTATAATGATAAAGCGTTTTCTCCAATCTAGGTGTTTATTGTTTGATGGATCTACAGAAGCAAAGACCAAATATAGCATGTTATTTTGAACATATCAGAAAATGCATATAAAGAGTCCGTCAAAAGATCTAACCAAACAGATATGCATCCAAACTTCTATTTGGCATGTATTCGTATATCAACATCTTTTCATCTCCTTCAATACAGCAGCCCAAAAGCCTTACAAGATTCCGGTGTTGAAGCTTAGAAATTACTACTACTTCATTCATGAATTCTTCTAGACCTTGTCCAGATGCTCTAGAAAGCCTTTTAATTGCTATTTTCTTGCCATCTTGCAGTTTTCCCTGCATAACAACGACAGGAAACAAAAGCTATAAACAATCAATTCATACTTGATTAACTTTGTTAGATTGAACATACCTTGTATACTGGACCAAAACCACCCTGCCCAAGTTTGTTGGAGGATTGAAAGTTGTTTGTGGCAGTTGCAACCTTTTCAAAGTTAAACAATAACAGCTCCTGTAGCTTAGCTTGTGAAAATTCTCCAATTATGTTGTCACTTATGTTTTCTTCAGATGTTGTACCTTTGTTGAATCGAAAAAATCCAAGCTTCTTTTTCATTGCTGATTTATTGAAGTTCCACAGTTTAGCAGACATGAAAAACATCAAACATGTAAGCTTAGATTTCACACCAATGAAATGTATGCTTAAATAGCTAAATTTTGAATCAGCAAGGATGTTGTATTACTATTACCTTGGTGCAAAGCCCTTCTCCAGATGACATATGCACATGTGAGAAATAGCAAAACTCCGATTATCACTGGAATTGTGATGATGACAATTATATTTCGCCCTTTACCTGTAATTGAGAAAAAACTAAAAATGTAAAATTTCAATTGAAGAATTTATGTATAAACAAATTAATAAAGTCAAGTTGAAGAGCTGTATTCAAATTTTTGGGTTGATAATACCCAGCACACCTAGTTCTGTATAGGCTACACGAATGTATAGATCAGATCCTCCAAGCGTGAACTGTTGGATGTCAATTAGACTTCCACTCCAAGTCATACAGCCAATAACAGCATCATATGAATATGCAATGCAAGTACAGTTCTCCAAGCACTGGCTTTGGCATTGGTCTTGTGTAACCGATGACCCTTCTGCAAAATCAGGCACTTTGACCATCTCTAATCTCAAAAACCCATCTGGTTTATTACTATCCACACTTCTGCTTTGGTTGTTGGCCCTTTCACACTGCAAAGGTGTCCTGCTAACACATCCATTAGTCCAGTTCCGTCTATTCCATTCCTCTATGTTCCTTGGTTCAAACCCCTTCAAACAGGTACATATCGGTGAGGTTTGTGAATTACAGCTTGCAAATGCTCCACATATACCATAAACATCACAATCCGATCTTGGACTTGTCCATGTAACCTGCCATTCCTCCTTCTCATCATCCCAAGTATGTTGCTGAAATTGGCCTTGCGAATTCAGGGTTAGCACTACAAGTCCTAACTCATCTACGGTAAAATATACAGCAACTGTTCCATCCCCATTATTTTCGACCCGAAAACCGTTAAGATACGTCGCTTCCATTCCCGGTACCCCAAGAAACACTTGTCCATTCCACGGACCACTGCGCCAATATGATCGATTATCATTCCAAATGAAGATTTCAGGAATATTAAAGCGTTCAATACTTAAAGAGAAGCTCCCAATGGATGGATCAGAAGGGCTTTTCCATGATGTAAGTCCTACTTTTTCACCTGTTATTTTGTTGCTAGAAAGTTCCAAATGAGGCAACCATGTATTTGTAGGATGCTGGAAACTCTCCCATTTTGTATTTCCTGTTGTATTTTCAAACAAGACAAGGCTCCCATAATCTGAAAGTTGGAAAATAGAATTGGATGATGTGATATTGGACACATTTGATGACCACATGACATGTTTCTGTTCATCCATTACCACTAGATTTCCATCTTCAGATATTGTAAGAACCCCAGAAGAATCCTTAAGTGGTTGGTTTCTGTTAGCCACCCATATGACAGTGTCTTTGGTCTTGCACCAAATTCCCAGGTAACGATTTGTAGTATTTTCAATGCTGAAGAACCCCAAGGTGAAGTTTCCATTAGTTGAGTTTAGAGTTCCTGGGTCCTTGATGGACTGAGATGAAGAAATGGCAACAACATGTAATAAACAACAACTTAGTATGATGCAAACAGAGGAGTTTGGGCACCTTCTGAAACCCATTATTGAGATGTATTTTTTTTCATGACAAATTTTGTGCATTGCTTTCCTTTTATGTCTAAAACTTTTCAAACATCCCTTAAGTCAACACTAAGCAGCCTATTTGGAATTCAGAGACCGGTTTTCATTGAATATAGTTATAATTATTTGCGATGACTAACTAATCTCTTTCAAATGGTTGATAGCGACTACAATTCAACCCTCACATAGTTATTGCTCATTAGTTTACTGAATGTGGTAAAGAAAGATATTAAAACCTTTCAAAATTATTGGAGAGTCTGGGGATTATATAGTGATGACCACTCACGTGTTACCATATTTCAATTATTTTAAAAAATGCATTAGTCAGATCATGGTAATTCGGACAATACAAATTTTTTTCCTTTGAAAGAGAAGTGGCTATGAATTTTAATTGTTTTTGAGTGCATTGAGGCACACCTAAATAAATTATTTTAAATTTGACTTGTATGTCTGTACGATTTATTTTTTATGTACAACTCTAGAAAAGCTGAATCTCATGCATATTTTTTTAAGGATTGTATCGTGGAATTTTCAAAGGCAAATGAGACGTTTTCATCTTAAAGCGCCCTTCTGATGTGGCCATTTTTTTAAACGGATTCTTCTTCAATGGTTGAAAGTTATGTTTTGTAATGATATGTAAATTTTTATATACAACAATTTTTGTGAATTTTGGCTGTTTGCCCCACACGCTAATTATTTTCCCTTCAATTCATAATTGGTCTTTCAATACCTATCACAAAATATTGCAATTCATAATTGGTATTTATGCATTGCTACAAAGGAAATCGACACTTGAAGGAGCATACTTAGAGCAAGTAATGAAGAAAGAAAAATAAAAGATGAAAAACAGAGAGAAAAAAAAAACATCAATTCGAGAGAAGAACCGAGTAATTTTGTTGTATTTTTTTTTTCTTTTCATTTTAAACATTTCAAATTGTTTGCAGCTGTTCAAATTTATTATTTGTATGTCAAACTTCATGACCAACTCCTTATTTTAAATGTTTAGAGTGAAGAATTGAAGATTAATATATAATTTAATTTTAATTTTACTATATATTACTTTAAATTGGGAAATTAATATTAAAATTTATACTTTATAATTTATAAAAATTATTTTATATTTTATATTATTTTAAATCCTTATTTTAGAAGAGTCTAAATTCTTTTCATGTTTGATTATTTTATTATATTTTAATATGCAGAGAAAAAGGTTTGAATAAGGATCAGAATGATGTGTTAACCTTGGGCTGACAGGAACAAAATATTAGGATCTGTTAAGAAGTGTGCTATGCATATTGGGCCGAATAGTCTCCGGCCTAAATAATTATAAGCGTTATCCTTAACTCATTTAATATTAAGATATGCTCTGAAGTGAGGGTTTTGGGCAAATTGGGTTTATAATGTTCAATCTTCATAATAATATATATATATATATATATATATATATATATATATATAATAGTAATAATAATAATAATAATATGAATAAAATGACACTTTTAAAAAAATTTACTTGAACTTTAATTTTTTTTATTTTAATTGTTATTATTGTGTAATGAAAATATTATTTGAGCTAGATTTTTATATAATTCCTTTATTTTATATTTTATATTAGTGAATTATTTTTTAAAAATTATATAAATTTATTTTAAAAATTAAATCATAGTTCAACTATACTTAATTAAATAATTATTTTATTAATTAATAAAATACAGTCTTTGAAAAATTTATGAATTTAATTATCAATTTATTTATTTATTTATTATGTTAAAACTATTAATGTCATAATTTTTAAAACTAATATACAACTTCTTTACCTTTGATTTATATGTACCCATATTATTATAAGTCTCACGCAATATAAATATATTATAAACTAAATTATATTTTCAAATATTTTTCTCTAATTATCAAATAATAAAAATATTAATTTATAAAATAAAATAAATTATATTGTTTTATTAATGTGTAATTTCTCTATTTATATCCATTATAAATAATCATAAGTAATTTTATATAATATAGTTATTTTAAAATTAAATTTTATCTTAAATTTAATTCATTAAATAATAATTTTATCAACTGAATTTTTTTATTTTTTAATATTTCTTAATCTAGTAATTAAATTGAGATATAAATTATATTTTTATTTAAATAATTAATTACTTAAAATTAGTTTCACACAATTGCTTTACAAACCAATGACTTTTGGTTGTTAAATAAGTCATATAAAATTTATATATAATATGCATTGTCTTAAATTATATATAATACATATTTTTTCATTAAATTATTTACAAAACTATTTTTCATATAAATTAAAATATTTTTTAATTATTATTTATGTTAATTTTTATAATGATTTATAATATAATTATGTGATTTCTTTTCTACTTTTTAATATTATTTATAGTGGTATAATATGCAGTCACTTTATCAAGTAACATAATTGTTGAATCAAAATAATTTTAAAATAATTTTTCTCTTAAAATATTGATTAATATTTTTAATGAACAATTTTAAAAAATTATTTTTTTATATTTAAATAAATATTTTTAAAATTATAATAAATTTATATAATTGTAATACAACATGTATTTTTCATTGAAACTTAAACTCTAAATTATAGATTAAATTATAATAATTTTTGCTGATTGATCCACACAGGGAGTGATTTTCTCCCTTTTAATTGTTTTATTTTATTTAAAATAAAAATTATAAAAAATAAAAATTAGTAATTAGAATACCTTATTCAATTTGGTATTTTAAATGTAAACACTGATCCGAATCTTTTGCAGTGTTGGCGAAAATTGCGGGGGGCGTAGTGCATTTTTATTTAAATGAAAAAATTTGCTCAAGTGAAATTTAACAAATCGTAATTTTAACTTAAACAAAAAAGTTTAACTTAAGCGAATATAGTTAAAAAGTAAATTTTTGCTTAAGCTAAAAAATTCGCTTAAGTCAAAATTGCAAAAATTTTTAAAACTTCATCTTCTTCCTCTCTAAACTACAGAAAATTCAAGAAACATTTGTGCAAGATCATGTGGTCACACTTTATGATCATATAATAAAAACTTAAGTGTTTCAAAACATGTAGTATCACAGTTATTTTTCAACTAATTTCTCAAAGTTATCATTCCTATAATTCTTATCATCATTCTCAACAATTTAACTTGATTCTAAATGGTTCTACCTCATTAATATTTAGTACAAGTAGCACACTAGACAATACATTTAAAAACATTTGTGCAAGATTATATAGTCATACTTTATGGTCATAATACAAAAACTTAAGTGTTTCAAAACATGTAATATCACAACTATTTTTCAACTAAATTTTTAAAGTTATCATTCCTATAATCCTTATCATCATTTCAATAATTTAACTTGATTTTAAATGGTTCTACCTCACTAATGTTTAGCACAAATAGCACACTAGACAATACATTTAAAAATATTTGTGTAAGATCATATTATCACACTTTATAGTCATAATACAAAAACTTAAGTATTTTAAAACATGTAATAATGTAACTATTTCTCAACCAATTTTTAAAAGTTATCATTCCTATAATTCTTATTACAATTATCAACAATTTAACTTGATTTCAAATGGTTCTATCTCACTAATGTTTAATACAAGTAGCACACTAGATAATACATTTGAAATATTTGGTGGGATAAAATATGTAAGAGTCTTTAGTAATTAGGTAGTGATTGGTGAGAAACAAATTTTTCTTGAATTTTCTATAATTTAGAGAAGAAAAAAAATTGTTTTAAATTTTTTTTCAATTTTGGCTTAAGCAAATTTGTTAGCTTAAGCAAAAATCTACTTTTTAACTAAATTCGCTTAAGTTAATTTTTTTGGCTTAAGCCAAAATCACGTTTTGTTAAATTTCGCTTAAGCAAATTTTTTCGTTTAAGCGAAAACGCACTGCACCTCCTGCAGTTCTTGCCAACACCGCAGAGGATCCGGATTCTGTAAACACAGGTTATTAAAAATATCATTATTATATAATGATTCATTATTTTATTTAAATAAAATTTTTATAAATAAATAATATTTAATATTCTATCTAAATAAAAAATCATATAAACAAAAAAATTAATTAAATTTTTTAAACTTTTAAATACCATACAAACAAACTCTTAAATACATTATAAAAGCCTATTATATATAAAGCATGCGTGAATGTATTCATAGAAAATATTAATAATTTATACAAAGTAAAAAAAAAAAAAACTTTTGAATTATATATATATATATATATATATATATAATTTATAATTAATTAATATAGTAATTAAATTATGACCTTTTCAACGTAAAGTGGATTGGTTCAAATGATACTTGCATTTACTTAAGATTACTTGTCAATCATATACCTACAGTACATGTACCAAAGATGAATAACTTTGATAGTAATCAAAATCACTAAAAACTTTATTATTATTAAATAAAATTTATTTATATAGTTATTTCATAAAAATATATAGCAAATTATTTATTGTATTTTATAATTATTTAGATTAAATTAGTTTGTAAATATATTTTAAAATAATAAAATTCAAATGCATGTTAATATATAGAATATAAAATGAAAAATATATGCCATAATTTTCTTTATTTATGTGTCTAAGTATTATTGTAAATTAACTATTGTGAGTTATTTTAAATTTTATATGTTTTAAAAATAATTTTAATTTTTTAAAATACATTTCAAAGTAACAAACTCAAATGCATGTTAGTGTAATTTTAAATTAGTCTAATTTTCTTACATGTTAGTAATTTTATCTAAACATTATTTGTTCTTTGTATGTTTTTCCTATACATTTATTTACATTAAATCAATTTTTTCATAAATAATTAAATAAAAAATGATTCAACATATATTTATGGGATCTTTTATGGATTATAAATGAATTAAGTTATGCTATTTTATATAGAATAAATAAAACAAAATTATTGAAAAACTGTAATATACAATTATTACATGTTGTATTAATAAAATAAAATAAATAGAAAATATAAATAAGATATAATAAAATATTTTTAAAATTATTTGTAAGGAAAATAATTAAAAAATTAAGTGATTT